CATTCACATAACAAAACAATCAAACAACAAGACCAAACAATGCATATAACAAAATAACTCAGATAGACGGTAAAATTAAACGATTTAAACTTACGGAAACTGACAAAAACAAAAACAAAACAAATGGCAAAGCAGAACGTAGCAGAAAGAATACACATGGATAAATACATCTGAACTCTAAAACTACTTGCATTCACTGCTGACACTTAAAAGAGTACCTTACGTCACACGAAGAGTTTAACAAACCCAAGCCGACGCCCCGACCCCCCCCCCATTCCCATCCCCCAGCCGCCACCCCGGAAGCCCGGTCGTAATCCCAGATCCAAACAGCCCCCCCCCCGTCGCATCCAAACCCCAGCTCTCCCTCCCCTCGGAAGCCCCAAGCACAAGGCAATAGTACCCAAACACTTGATCACCTGTACCGCCCACTACACGCCGACCACCAAACCAGCGTCGACGGAGACGAGCGACGACCAGAGACGAGCGAGGACGTCAGTCGCCCGTCTGAGGACCGACGACCGTGGACGTCAGGCGGGCAGACAGCCGGCCGCCGGCACCGCCAACGGCGCAGGCAGCCGGCCACGACGCCGACAACGAGCAGGGACGGCAGCCAGGCAGCCGGCCGCCGGCACCGACGACCATGGCGCAGACAGACGACCGGGGACGCAGACGGACAGCCGCCGCCGTCGGCACCGAACACAGCGCCGGCAGAGACGAGCGGGAACGGCAGGCGGGCAGCCGGCCGCCGGCACCGACCACGGCGTCGACGGAGACGTAGACAGCGGGGCTCAGCAGGCGGGCAGCCGGCCGTCGGCACCGACCACGGCGTCGACGGAGACGTAGACAGCGGGGCTCAGCAGGTGGGCAGCCGGCCGCCGGCACCGACGACCATGGCGCTGGCAGACGACCGGGGATGACAGACGGACAGCCGCCGCCGTCGGCACCGAACACAGCGCCGGCAGAGACGAGCGGGAACAGCAGGCGGGCAGCCGGCCGTCGGCACCGACCACGGCGTCGACGGAGACGTAGACAGCGGGGCTCAGCAGGTGGAGACGTAGACAGCGGGAACGGCAGGCGGGCAGCCGGCCGTCGGCCCGACCACGGCGTCCACGGAGGCGTAGACAGCGGGGCTCAGCAGGCGGGCTGCCGCCGTCGGCACCGAACACAGTGCTGGCAGAGACGAGCGGGAACAGCAGGCGGGCAGCGGGCCGTCGGCACCGACCACGGCGTCGACGGAGACGTAGACAGCGGGGCTCAGCAGGCGGGCAGCCGGCCGTCGGCACCGACCACGGCGTCGACGGAGACGTAGACAGCGGGGCTCAGCAGGTGGGCAGCCGGCCGTCGGCACCGACCACGGCGTCGACGGAGACGTAGACAGCGGGGCTCAGCAGGTGGGCAGCCGGCCGTCGGCCTGACCACGGCGTCGACGGAGACGTAGACAGCGGGGCTCAGCAGGTGGGCAGCCGGCTGTCGGCCCGACCACGGCGTCGACGGAGACGGAGACAGCGGGGCTCAGCAGGTGGAGACGTAGACAGCGGGAATGGCAGGCGGGCCGCCGGCCGTCGGCCCGACCACGGCGTTGACGGAGACGTAGACAGCGGGGCTCAGCAGGTGGGCAGCCGGCCGTCGGCCCGACCACGGCGTCGACGGAGACGTAGACAGCGGGGCTCAGCAGGTGGGCAGCCGACCGCCAGCACCGACCACGGCGTCGACGGAGACGGAGACAGCGGGGCTCAGCAGGTGGGCAGCCGGCCGTCGGCACCGACCACGGCGTCGACGGAGACGTAGACAGCGGGGCTCAGCAGGTGGGCAGCCGGCCGTCGGCACCGACCACGGCGTCGACGGAGACGTAGACAGCGGGGCTCAGCAGGTGGGCAGCCGGCCGTCGGCACCGACCACGGCGTCGACGGAGACGGAGACAGCGGGGCTCAGCAGGTGGAGACGTAGACAGCGGGAACGGCAGGCGGGCAGCCGGCCGTCGGCCCGACCACGGCGTCGACGGAGGCGTAGACAGCGGGGCTCAGCAGGCGGGCTGCCACCGTCGGCACCGAACACAGTGCCGGCAGAGACGAGCGGGAACGGCAGGCGGGCAGCCGGCCGTCGGCACCGAACACAGTGACGGCAGAGACGAGCGGGAACGGCAGGCGGGCAGCCGGCCGTCGGCACCGACCACGGCGTCGACGGAGACGGAGACAGCGGGGCTCAGCAGGTGGGCAGCCGGCCGTCGGCACCGACCACGGCGTCGACGGAGACGTAGACAGCGGGGCTCAGCAGGTGGGCAGCCGGCCGTCGGCACCGACCACGGCGTCGACGGAGACGGAGACAGCGGGGCTCAGCAGGTGGAGACGTAGACAGCGGGAACGGCAGGCGGGCAGCCGGCCGCCGGCCCGACCACGGCGTCGACGGAGGCGTAGACAGCGGGGCTCAGCAGGCGGGCCGCCGCCGTCGGCACCGAACACAGTGCCGGCAGAGACGAGCGGGAACAGCAGGCGGGCAGCCGGCCGTCGGCACCGACCACGGCGTCGACGGAGACGTAGACAGCGGGGCTCAGCAGGTGGGCAGCCGGCCGTCGGCACCGACCACGGCGTCGACGGAGACGTAGACAGCGGGGCTCAGCAGGTGGGCAGCCGGCCGTCGGCACCGACCACCGGCCGTCGGCAGCCGGCCGTCGGCACCGACCACGGCGTCGACGGAGACGGAGACAGCGGGGCTCAGCAGGTGGAGACGTAGACAGCGGGAACGGCAGGCGGGCAACCGGCCGTCGGCCCGACCACGGCGTCGACGGAGGCGTAGATAGCGGGGCTCAGCAGGCGGGCTGCCGCCGTCGGCATCGAACACAGTGCCGGCAGAGACGAGCGGGAACGGCAGGCGGGCAGCCGGCCGTCGGCACCGAACACAGTGACGGCAGAGACGAGCGGGAACGGCAGGCGGGCAGCCGGCCGTCGGCACCAACGACGGCGTCGACGGAGACGGAGACAGCGGGGCTCAGCAGGTGGGCAGCCGGCCGTCGGCCCGACCACGGCGTCGACGGAGACGTAGACAGCGGGGCTCAGCAGGCGGGCCGCCGCCGTCGGCACCGAACACAGCGCCGGCAGAGACGAGCGGGAACGGCAGGCGGGCAGCCGGCCGTCGGCACCGAACACAGTGACGGCAGAGACGAGCGGGAACGGCAGGCGGGCCGCCGGCCGCCGGCACCGACCACGGCGTCGACGGAGACGGAGACATCGGGGCTCAGCAGGTGGGCAGCCGGCCGCCGGCACCGACGACCATGGCGCTGGCAGACGACCGGGGATGACAGACGGACAGCCGCCGCCGTCGGCACCGAACACAGCGCCGGCAGAGACGAGCGGGAACGGCAGGCGGGCAGCCGGCCGTCGGCACCGAACACAGTGACGGCAGAGACGAGCGGGAACAGCAGGCGGGCAGCCGGCCGTCGGCACCGACCACGGCGTCGACGGAGACGTAGACAGCGGGGCTCAGCAGATGGGCAGCCGGCCGTCGGTACCGACCACGGCGTCGACGGAGACGGAGACAGCGGGGCTCAGCAGGTGGAGACGTAGACAGCGGGAACGGCAGGCGGGCAGCCGGCCGTCGGCCCGACCACGGCGTCGACGGAGGCGTTGACAGAGGGGCTTAGCAGGCGGCTGCCGCCGTCGGCACCGAACACAGTGCCGGCAGAGACGAGCGGGAACAGCAGGCGGGCAGCCGGCCGTCGGCACCGACCACGGCGTCGACGGAGACGTAGATAGCGGGGCTCAGCAGGTGGAGACGTAGACAGCGGGAACGGCAGGCGGGCAGCCGGCCGTCGGCACTGACCACGGCGTCGACGGAGACGGAGACAGCGGGGCTCAGCAGGTGGGCAGCCGGCCGTCGGCACCGACCATGGCGTCGACGGAGGCGTAGACAGCGGGGCTCAGCAGGTGGGCAGCCGGCCGCCGGCACGCGTTAAACGCCCCCAGCCGATAACTCGAGAACCAATAGGCGCAGCGAAACGCACGAGGCGGCAAACGAAAGAATGCAACGAGACGCTTCAGATGAGTACTTTAAAGTTGAATTTTGAGGTCACAGGTCGGGTCAAGGTCAGGTCAAACACCTGAAATCGGGCTTTCAGTAGATTGGACTTAAGGACTTCGCAATGGGCGCTTCTCGTCATAAACTCTGTCAAAACGGTGCACAATCCATCATATAAGGCTTCAAGAGTGTAAGCTCCATGTAGGGGTCAGTCAAGCATAGGTCAGGATCAAGGTCAGGTCAACCGGGTAGGCACATATCCCCGAAAATCAAAACTGATATTCGCAGCCTGTGACACATGTTTTATGGGTAATTTGGGGCGTAGAACACGATGGTGACATTCATTTTATCATATGTGTACGTGTTTGGCTCAAAAAGTTCAATTAAAGAAATGCATGTATCATGGTGGTGAAGTAGTCACGAGAAATTGCCAAGATTCAGTTCAAGATTTTGGAACATGCGGAACGATAATCAATAATCGAAGATAGCCATTTGATTGTTCATGGTATTGGCAGTCTAATGGCGTTTACGGCATGTCTGTATGTCTATTCTGTGATTTTATATGATTTTTTGAACATATGCCGTTTTTGGTCGAAAACTCAAAAATCACAACGTCACTAAAACCTCGATATCTCAAAAAATTCTGACTGATTTTTTTTTTAAACTTTCTCACAATAAACTTCAATCAATTCCGTACAGGTACCCAAAATTTGGCGCGCCTGCGGCGCGCCGTTATTATGCTATGGCCCGGCGAAAAAAGTGGGGGCGTTTAACGCCCCCCCCCCCAGCAACTCGCGGGTTAAACAACAAGATGATGAAATATTTATCAAACTTGATGGACAAATAAGACATATGCGCAACAAAGCTATGCGTCGAACTTTATGCGTCCATTTCCAACACATGGCACATTTATCATTCAATAGGTTTACCTCCCCAACCCCTAACCCCCCCCCCCCCCACCAACACCACCACGGCTCCACGTCACCCACCTTATACTGTGTCTCGGCGGTCGGGTAGGGAAAGCTGTGTCTCCCGCCGCCCTGCAGTCTCTCTGTGTAGGTCTGAGCCGAGTCGCGAGGAACCAGCGTCTCCCCGACCGAGACTCGCTCCAAGAGACACTCGTGGAGGAGCGAGTACTCTTCTAGTGTCCCTAAGAGACGAGGACACTGACCTGGGGGGAGGGAGGGGAGAGATGAAGAGAGAGAGAGAGAGAGAGAGGGGGGGGGGGAGAGAGAGAGAGAGAGAGAGAGAGAGAACAGAGAGAGGGAGAGGGAGGGAGAGGGAGAGAGAGAGGGAGAGAGAGAGAGTCAGAGACAACGAGACGCATGCATAGACATAGACAAAAACAGAAAGAGATCACAAATTGCGTTACTTTTTATGATCCAACATTACGAAAAAAATTTGATCTCCAAAGTCGATAACTTGCACCTGCCACATCTGTAGAACAATCGAATGAAGTGCAACCTAGATGTTGTTTTTGTGTTTCATCAACCTTCATTCTACCATGAGCCCGCAGCATAGTAACTGTTACGCTGTTACATGAAACCTTTAAACACCATAAAATCATGCGCTAGCCGTGAGCATCGATCCAATGTTATGCATTTTCTTAAATTCAGTTTCATTTTATGACAATCTGTTCCGGTCAGTACGCCGGAAAGCCGGATTTTCCCTAAACCACGGCCACCATGAACGTAAAGTCCAGCGTGTCCTGGCCTGAGGACATTATGGTAATTGAAGTGGCTCGACCGAACCGCAGACAATGGCCGCCATACGGATTACAACAGCTCAGTGAGACAAACGAGATATTTCCTCTTTGTGCTGCTGTTTGTATTTTTGTTACAAATTACCGAGCCCCGAAGGTGTAGAAATTCGGTGGGCTCAGTCAAATAGAAGGGTATGTTGATAGAGCATCATGATGATAATCTCACCATAAAACAATGCCGACTTGGTGAAACGGCATAATAAATTGATAAAAATTAATAAAGTACAGAAAAGAAAAATCGCCTTGAGCCACAGGTCCTGTCTAGACAAACACCCAGGAAGGAAGTTGGGAGGAAGCCAGCACCGGGCCTGTTGAAACCCAGGGTTGATAACGAGGGGTCCCCTAAATCATCCAGCCGTCCGTGCTGTTATGAGATCTCGAGATTTATCACCTGGCCACAGACTGTTTTTCAGAGGACGCCCGGAAAAAGGCGATGTGAGCCGGGGTTGTGACTCCATTACGGCTCGGTCCAGTGTCATAACGCAGCACGACACCGAAACTGCCGCGATTCGCGGGGAAAAACAACTTCTCTCTGTGTTTGCGGAGATATGGAACATTTGTTGAATATGTAGGGCTCCCATATTTCAGACAAAGCTCGCAGTAAATGAGCAAATCTGTGTCATGTCTTGTGGAAATGATGCAACAATTTATACGTCAAGACCGAAATGTTGCAAGATCAACAGACATTATCCGACATAAGCTCCGCTAAGCATATTTACTTCGTTCAATTATAAAAAGGGATAATTGACGTCAGTAGCGCATGCACTAAACTCTACTGTTTTACAAACGCACTGTCAACTGTTCACACCAAGAAGAACCCATGGTGTAGTTCGTGAAGAGTAGGCACCATGGCAAAATTAATCCCAAATCGAATTTATTGTCTTGATGGAGGACAAAATGGTATCTTAACAACCCTTTAAAGTAACTATAACGTAAAACTAATTCTAACAGTAGGTAAAGTAAGTCCCAGGATCCCACTCACCTCCCAAGAAACCCACAACGCGTTACCGAGCACTTTAAAGGTCAAAATTTTAGAACTCACACACTTAATTGAAGTAAATGAGCACTTGCAATATCAAAATTCAAGCAATTCGATATTTTTCTAGCAAACAGATTCTTTACAGGCGGCCGAATGTCCAATGGACAGGGACGCCTTAAAACCTCATTTTCACTCACTCACTGACCTACGATATGTTGACAGTAGGAGAGAACGGCCAGCTCTTGGTTGCGAGACAGCTGGGTAAGTAGAGTCGCCAGTCCCACGTACAGACCGGTGCCTCGGCCGTCCAACCTGCAACGGACGGACAAATAGGTCATCTGTGCTGATTTTGCACTTCTCATACGTAAATGCAATTTTAGTAAATTGATGACGTAAAAATGTTTCCAAACGGTTAATGTGAGAGAAACGTTCGCCTTGGAATTCGCCGCAAATTTTTTGATGATATATGATGCGTACATGAAGGTTTGAAAATATTGCACATCTAGCCGTAAGTGTCTGCCGACTCCCGCGTCCACAGCCATTGATCGGCGGTCACAGAGGCTCGGTGGTCCATCCGGCTCAGGGTCGACTGTTCAAACACTGGCTCAGTGCAATGGTCTGCGAGCCCAACTCCTCTCGAACAAAGTACTCCGGAATGTTCCGCACTCGATCGGGAGTGCTGTGCCCTCGGTGCCAATGCTCTGAAAGCTTTCGACACCTACCCCCCCCCCTGATCCCACTGACCCGTGCGGCACAGCAAATACTTGACGTCAGTGGACCGAAATCCGGCACGGCATTCTGTTCACCGATCTCTAAACAGAAGACCTTGGTTTTTACATTCGATGCAAACCAAGGAAAGTGAGGTAATCCGTTTGAACTGACTATGTTCAGTGTTCACCTACTGGGTCCAACTGTTAAATCAACTTCATGAGCAAGAAAACGTGGATTTTACTGCAATCGAGCCATAACATGAAATGAGCACCGCAGCTCCGTTCGTAATACACACTTGCTCTACATAATGCAACTGGGGTATGCCTACTTATATGTTCACATATCTGATATCCATATAGTTTACCCTGTGACGACCAGGACCGGTGGAGCTGCCGTAGCAGTAGCTGTAGTGGTAGCAGTGACCTCTGCCGTGACCTGGGTGCGCCGCACTAGCTGCAGTAGCGGCAGGGGATCGTCTGGCAGACCTGACTCGGTACAGTCGGTGAACTGGTACATGATCAGTCGCCTCTCCTTCTGTCGGTACAGAGGGGAGGGGGGGGGGCGTAAGGGAGGCAGAGAGGGACAGAGCATAAGGCAGGTGCCTTCGTTGCTGCTGGGAAGGGGGAGATCATGAGGGAATCAGAAATCCTAGTGAAGGTTAGATGAATGGGGATGACTTATTGGTTATATTAGATGCATTTTGAAATTAAATAGGCATATGAAACGAGACATGTGACAGCTAAGCAATTAGCTTACAAGTCACAGAGACGAAGGGCACCGACTAAAAATTCAGCAGGAAACCAAGTTGTGCAATCTACCATGGAAAGAATCGATGATTGTCTTGGAAATGAATATACCGATGAATATCTACAAATACAAGGCCACAATGTGCTGTAATAATAAAATAAGCCTCCATATCAAGTGCAATGATATCCTCTAAGTCCATTCGACAAAGAAATCTGCCAAGGTTGCCCTCCTTACTCAGCCCAGAGCCATACCTTTCGCTTGGTGATGACCACCTCGGAGACCTCACAGCCCGCCTGCAGGTGGTCGCCGATGCAGCGCAGCTCAAGGTCACCGCAAGGTCGCGCCTGGCCCGCCTCGGGCGGCAGACGTGACGTCACAGACGCCTGAGGGCACGGTCGCACGTGGGGAGCGGCACTTTGATTGGCCCACCGCCATTTACGGACCACTGAACCCAATCAAATACGTCGTCCAGTGCCATGTGCCAGCAGAGATCATAGAAGTTCTGGAAATCCCTCTCGATCTCGATTGTTCGATATTCAAAATACGTACGTCATCATTTCAGGGTTCCTAGATACCTATAGCTATCTGGGACGACAAGTTCAGGAGAAATGTTCAGCATTTCCAGAAATCAATATCATCTATAAGCAAATTCCATTAAATTGCACATGTTAGATGGTATACTAAAATATTTTGTTGGTAAATAGACTGCAATCACACAGACGTTACCTGATTCTCTGATCAAATCAAGCATTGACGAATGAGTAAACACAATCAGGATACAAAGTTTACAACATAAACTTTATACGTAACAATATCAGCAGCGGCACACAACCAGTGCCAACTCCCACCTGATAAGCGCCGATGCTGACTGCAGTGGTGACTCCCTGATCCCAAATCAGCTTCCAGAAGCCCTCAGAGGAGGTCCCGGGGCCGGGGCGCTCTGTCACTATGAACGCCCGCGCCCGGCGGTACCCGTCCACATGGTACGCGGGCAGTACAAGCGCGGTACGAGCGCGGTACAGACGCGATGGGAGGTGAACCCGCATCATACGACCTGAAGATGGGGAGATATGACGAAATCAGATGGGCGAGATATCTGACTGAATAGTGAATAAGACTCATTGGAGAAAATGTGAACTGGAATAGTGACCACGGACGGTAGCAAAACCAGACGCTTTTGTATTTATCAATCAAATATCATTGTTATAGTTTACCGTTACATTTTTTTCTAAGAATAGAAATCTTTTGATTAGATTGCTGGACACGTACATTGAGAATAGAGGTGGCAAAATGTGGACCCGAGGACCCGGTCCAAAGAACCAGTCTGGACCCATATGGGTCCAGACCGGTTCCTGGAAATTTTCTGACGGGTCCAACCGGGTCCTACCATAAACTATACATCTTGCACACTACACATTATTGCAAAATATGAAGTGAATGTTTCTTTGTACAGTAGCTCATGAGTATTCCCAGTGGGAAACAGGCTGTTTTACATGATGCAACTAATGATTCTTACAAGAAGTTTGGATTAATTGACTTTTGGGGAACGGGTCCAACTGGTTCCGGTTCCAACTAAGACCGGGTCCGACTGGTTCCAGAAATGTCCAGCCGGGTCTGGTTCGAGTCTGGTTCCCAAAATTTTCATCTTTTGCCACCTCTAATTGAGAATCATCCCACCATCCGAACTGTCGTATATCACCGCTCGCCGGTCGATAATTGATTCTCCTATCTGAGTATAGTGTTGTTATAACGGTGACAGCAGGTTTTGACAGGATTAGCATCACGCTGATACGAGTGAGCTATATGGGCTGCTGGTGTGTGCACACTGCACAGTGCACACGCCGAGGTGTTCGGCCGTGCATGTGGTGCGATATAGTGGTGATGGGGATTGCGGGACATGCTGTACCCCGAAAAGAAAATGCTGCTGTCGTGGTGGAGCGTTCTCAAAAGTACCTAAATCTGAGCTAATGTATGCGCCACTATTTGCCGGTTGTCTGAACATCGAAGAACAATACAGCGATGAATTAGAATCACATAACTCACCATCGATCTGTTCTACAAGTTTGGTCTGCGTCTCGTCGGTCAGGGTCTGCGCGGTCTGCAGGGTCTGCCAGTCCCTCAGCAGGCCGGCACCACCATCAGCATGCAGTTGGTGAACGTGTTGAGCAAACAGCCGGGCAGGCACCGCCTCGTGCGAGGGTGCCGGCCAGCCGACCGTCCGGCCACGGCTCCCTGACGACTTCAGGTCCGAGTCGATCGAGCAGCGCTTCAGCTGGCGTCTTCTGCGGGCCCCAGATAACAGCTGTGAGCGATGGTGGTCAATGAGGTCTTAGAGCAGATGAGAGTACATCATGAGTGCATCATGGAAAGTTTGGCCCGGTCTGGTCATACATGCAGAGCCATGATATTGTGCTTTGTAGTGATGCGCTCTGCTACTTAGGGAAGTTTGGTGATTATAGCCTAAGATCAGATTTGAGTTTTTTTTTTGTCTTCTAGAGAAACCAGGGCAGCCTGTAACCGTGCAAAAGTAAGTAAGGAAGATGAAATATGCCCCATTCTTGTTGGGATCGAGCAGCTATATACGATGATCGGTGATGAAGATGATGGTGATGAAGTTTCATGTAACGTGCATGTCACATGTAACATGACTACACGTGCAATTGTAAGACAGTGCTCACAACCGATCAAGAGGGAAGAACGCTATATAGGAAACGTAGTTTGTCATAGAAAATCAGGGGCGTCGCCACGGATTTTTGACTGGGGGGGACGGATTGGCTGACTAAAAACCCAAAAGTTAGTTAGTTTACCCTACAATTTCAGGCCTATGCACTACTTGTAACGCATACACAATACACATGTTCTCATGTTCTCGCGTGGAGGCGTTATTAGTCACACTCTTTAGTCTTTTCTACCTGTGCATGAATTGGCTGCGCGAAGCGCCGCGAAAATTGGCAAAAACTCTTGGCAAAACAGTCCCAAAACGCATAAATTTTGCATCTCGCGTAATAAGTTTGATACCAGGACAGTTAGGGTCTGGTCACCAAGTCCAGCAGCCCTGCCTCTAAAAAATCGTGTGGTCCTCTGTAAACCGCTGTCAACCATAGGTACAGCTTTTTTCCAACTTCTGTGCAGTGTAGCTGCAGGACTGCGGGGTCGGAGTCGACTTCGGTCGTAGTCGACGGTTTTGGTCGGATACGGAGTTGGAGTCACCAAAATCGTAACAGACTTGAAGTCAGTCAACGTCATCCCCGAGGATGGGTCGAATAAGAGCTGGAGATTCTGTTGGCTGTGGTGATTGTAGGGGTCATGGTAAGACCAATGTAGGGGCATACTGAGCATTACGTCCTCCTGGGCTCTCTCAGACCAGGACGAGGTCCTCTCACCCTCAAGCATCAAGCGTTCAAAGGCCATGGTGAGACCTTCTGCTGTCGGATGGCCTCGAACGGGAAGAGGGCCGTTTGAGAGTGAGCTGAAGGTCTTGACTATTACGAATATCCTATGTAAAATGTGTGGTCTCTGCAAGCTGTTGTCCTACTGCACTCTGAGACTTTGGGACAGATCTTCAGCCCTTGTTGGATATGGTCGCCCTTACAACTGGAGCTTTGGCTCCCTATCGAGGACCTGGGACGGACAGTCCAGAGCTGCACCTCGTAGGCAATGTTATCTTTTAATGTGCCAAGAAACGTTCAAAGAGACAAAAGCATCACACCACATGTTTTTTTCACTCCGATGCGGGCCGAGGGATGCCGTGGTCGGAGATGGAGTGGGGACTCCGAGCGTTTTTTTTAAAGCCAGAGTCGGAGTTACCAAATCATCTACTCCGCAGCCCTGTAAGCAAGGGTACAGTGTCAGCAATTCGCAGATTCAATTTGTATACGAGTAGGTATCCGCAATTTCATCCCAAAACGACAATACACCAATGTCGTAGGTCACTTTTTAAATCATTCATGGGGATATTTTTTTGCGGGGGACGTCCCCCCCCGGATTCCTCGACTGGAGGGGACGCGTCCACCCGTCCCCCCCCCCCCGGTTTCGACGCCCATGTAGAAAATACATTTCCGTACATAATATTCACATTATGCAAGCATGTAGTAAGTACTTACATGTAGATTATACGCCCTATGCAATTTACATTCTTACAGTACGGCCTGCACTGTTAGGACAACAATGGCTCAGCATAATGGGCACGTTTTTTTATTCAAAGCACCCCACCCCCACCCCTAAGGTTTTTCGCGAATAACTCGCGTAAAAAGCAGCCGATTAGGACAAAACTTCCAGTACCCTCGCATCGATCAATTTTACATCTACCCTGAAAACTTCATGACCCTGACCCATATCACCGTTGACATGTGACCTACTTTCCGAGACCATGTTTGGCCGGAATCTCGATTCGGCGTATGTCGGCTCGCATTAGCCGCGCGTTTGCAAGTTTTTCGTGGTTTCAAACGTTCGAACATGTGATTTGGCGTTGCTCCCATGCAATAGGGTGGATTTCAAGGTCAACTGAAGGTCAGGTCAGGTCATTGATCTTTGGTGACATCGGTTCACTTTTCGAGTTTTACATGTTGCTAGGCTAGTTTTTGGAGCTGAATTGAAATGTAGACAGTATTCGAACATTTATAAAGTAGTTTTGGTGCCTTCGTAACATGTTACGAAGCTCCAAAGGCGGCTGACAGGTAATACGAATACCCGTCACGACCCCTACCTACTGGTTGACCTGACCTGACCTGACATGGTCTAAATGCTTAGATATCAGCTGTGATCAAAACTAACACGATATTCGTGATCAGCACCCCGAAAAAAACCCATAGCAGTCACACTTTACGACTTTCTAACAGGTCCCGATATTCCCGATTTTTGAGTCATTGCCCTGACCTGGAAGGTCAAGCGATGACCTAGGAACTTAAAATTGGGTATCATTGGCTTCCTCTCGTGACGGGCAACACGCTCGTTTTTTTTTTCGCGAAGCTCTAGCTCCATCAGGCGCCAAACGCGAGGGGGGTCGTACTACCCCCCCCCCCCTTGTGTCGTCGAAAACTTCAGAATGGCCTGTGCCGACAATCAATGCGAGTAGCTCCGGAAAGCTAGTTCCGCTCAACGCAATGCATAACGCAATGCATGACGCAATGCATGAAACGTGGACAATAGGCTGGCTTCGATTCAACTCACTTTCAAGTGGACAGCTAAAGCCTGAAACCGACCTCTTTCCGCAGTAAGGAAATCGCATGCGAGAGCCTATTCAAATACATGGAAGCACGCTCGTATCAATCGCACGCACCTCCCGCAAGCGATTGATGCGAGAAGAATAACAATGTATTTGAATAGGCTCTCGCATGCGATTTCCTGAACGCGGAAAGAGTCTGTTTCATCCTTAAATCACACGTGCTTTAGTGTCATGTGCATTGCGCGACTTTGTCGTCTGTTGAAATGACTCCCAGTCTGAATGATGACACCGTTCGCATTGTTTTGCACCTATGTAGATACAATAATAAGCCTAGGTGGTAGGTACAAACTGGTGTAATTAAAGTCGCTAGCCTTTGACGCATGTGGTCAATGACTAATAAGGAAGTGGGCTGGTAATAATGGAACACAATTGTGCCATTGTTTCTTGCTTCGCTTATATTGCATTTTAGTTATCTTATATGCATAATCATATACTTGAAGAGGAGCTATGGAATACCTGATGATTTTAGTTACGCGATGCGGATAGTTAAAAAGAAAAAAAAAATCCGCTTCCTAAGGCTGCTTTCCCTTGCGACGCCAATTCACCCCAACAGGTCAGGATTTCGTCGCATCCTTCCGCGGGCAGTAGCATCGCTCTTAACATGTCCTAGAATGCCCTGGTGACATTGCATTATAGCAAACGTAGCAAACAAAGAACATCCAATTCCGATAAAAGCTACCTTCCGAACGCTAAACCTGCGCTAAACTGCCTTACAGACGTGCTGCGCACGCGGAACGTCTGAATAACATCCATTATCAGACTTACGCAACTGTCAATCGTGCATTTAGACGACGCCAGAAACAGATGTTCAATTTGCTAGCGTTTCATCCCACTCAGAGTTAACCGCATATTCGACATTTATCAGAAGAGCGCAGTCATTCTCAGTAACAAGTGGCCCCGCTGAGTTGTCACTCGGGGAGGCCGAAGACACGTGTGCGTCCCCCTTTAGTCGGGTATAAATGCGGCCACCGTGCCAGCAGCCGGCACCTTCCACCATGTTCCGTCTGGCAGTCGTTACCTGTGTGGTCCTGGCCACTGGCCTGGCCAAGCCGCCTCCCCCGGCCAAGATCGACGGTGATCCCATCCAGCCACTGGATGTCGAGCCGGTGCATTCCAGGAGGGACCCGAGCCTATTCTGTTCCTCGAGAAAGAGACTCGCACCACCCACACTTTGGCGCCTGGACAGTACTCTTTCCAGAGCCCTAACTACCCGAATCAGTACCCCAACAACTTTGACTACAGCTTCACGCTGAAGGGCGACAACAGCCAGGACGTGACCGTCACCTGCGACCCGTTCAGCATGGAGAGCCACTCCTCCTGCGCCTACGACTACCTCTCCATCAACGAGCGTAAGTACTGCGGCTCTAGCGCTCCTATCGCCCTCGCCGCCTCCGAGCTGCGGATCCGCATCCACACCGACTACGCGGTGGCGGCCACCGGCTTCTACTGCGTGGTCACCGTGGCCACCGGCTCCGGCTGCCAATGCGGCGTGCGGCCGACCCGCGTGGTGGGCGGCGCAGACGCCACCGCCGGCCAGTTCCCGTGGCAGGCTGGCCTCGTCACCACCGGCACCACCCGCTCCTGGTGCGGCGGCAGCGTCATCAACAACCGCTACGTGCTGACGGCGGCCCACTGCACCGAGGGCAGCAGCCCAAGCCAGATCCAGGTGATGCTGGGCGACCTGCGCATCGGCACCTCCGACTCCGGTGAGCAGCGCTTCTCGGTCCAGCAGATCATCAACCACCCGCGGTACACGAGCGCCTCGGGCAGCGGCTGGGACTTCTCGCTGCTGAAGCTTGACCGCGAGATCACATTCAGCAACACCATCTCGCCCGTCTGCCTGCCGACCGCCGGCCAGACGTACGCCAACGTCACGGCCATCGCCAGCGGCTACGGCCAGGTTGGCGCTAGCGACCCTCAGGCCACCCACCTTCAGCATGTCCAGCTGCCCGTCTGGAGCCAGAGCCGCTGCCAGGGTGCCTGGAGCAACACGCCGCTCAAGAGCAGCATGCTCTGCGCCGGCGGCTACCCAGAGGGCGGCAGGTCGGTCTGCATGGGCGACAGCGGCGGCCCGCTAGTGACCTTGGTCTCGGGCCGGTTCCGTCTGATCGGCGTCGTCTCGTTCGGCCGGCCGTGCGCCGTGGCCAACTGGCCCGATGTGTTCGGTCGCGTCACCGAGGCGCTGTCCTGGATCGCCAGCAACACGGCTGACGCCAACACCTGCACCCCTTAGATGGTCTCTGATCCCTGGGTACTGGGCCCGCTCACCGCTGTCCCGCACAGTCAGGAGAGGCCACTAAAAATAAATAAATAAAAAATAAAAATAAATAAATAAATAAATAAATAAATGACTTGCTCACTGCAGTGTTTTCGTTATGTTACCTATGGCTCATGAACTTCTCCTTTTGACGCTGAATAATTATATATTTTTCAATTGAATGATGATGAGGGCTTGTCTTGGACTGAGCTTTTTTAAAAGATCACTCCTCTGTATGCCACCAGGCATGTATGTTTGTCAGTATATATGTAATAACATATATTCCTTCTCGATTTATAAATGCAACTGTTGACTTGTAATACATCGCAAATATACGCTTTTCTCCAACTAAGTGCTTGTTTTGATAAATTTCATAAAATGCATTCACATTATATAGGTACGTCTTTTTTGCAAGAACCAAAGCAAGTACATGCTAACCCGCGCCCCGTTGGGCTCTGCCGAGCAACGCGCCCTGTTGGGGGGGGGGGGCATTTTGCCCCCCCCCCTAAGATCTCGAGAACCACGCAACCTAGCGACAAGCGGCAAACGGTGTTGGATAGCCTTATCAGGGAACTACCTTGTGACCCAATTTTATTGACCTAGATCAAACCGATGACATCAGAGGTCAGGTCAAAGGCCCAATTTTCACCGTTTACAGGCATTTCAAGAAATGCGTTGTAAAATCGAGTAAAATGCATTTCATTGAAAATCATCGATGGGGAAACGTTCTTCAAACACATATTTTGCTATTTGAGGTCACTGATACCAGGTCAGGTCACAGAGGTCAGGTCACTGGGGGGTAACAATATGAAAGTGTCGTGTGATACATGTTTTATGGTCCATTTTACATGACAAATGCGATTATGTGGGTCAGGCAGCCTTTGGGGCCAGCTTATATCACGTTTTGGTCAAGGTCAGGTCAAGGTCAGGTCAAATTAGGTAACATTTGAATTCGGTAAAATTCGGTTAAGGCGTCGACCCGCGGTGCGGGCGGTGCCGGGTTCGGGTTCGATTCCCGGTTCCGCCCGTTCCGCGGGCGTCGTCCCCGGCTGTGTCACCAGGTGTGGGGTAGGCTCCCACTTCAGCCGTAGCCTGGGGGGTGGGTAATGAGGGCCGGGAGGAGGAGGAGCCCTCCTGTAATTGGGACTATACGAGCCCGTTGGAGGGAGGCCTGAATAAAAAAAAAATCAAAGTTAATATTTTTGCATAAAATGGGTATTGAATCGATGCAACTCGTCACGGGAAGTTCAATGGTGGTCTTTGTTTTGCCCTATGTGGTCTAGAATCGCTAAAAATTGAGTTAAAAAAATTGACATCATCATTTTTGAACAGTTTTTTTTCGCTATAACTTGGCAAAAAAACGAGATATCGATCTGAAATTTGGTATGTATATAGGAGAGCACAGGGTCTATCACATATATTCCGTTTTTTTTCGAAATTCGGAACAATTTTGGATTTTTATTTTTGTTTTTCTTAAAAAAAATATTTTTTTGATTTTTTGGGGTCAAAATCCCAAAATTTTGAACATCCGAGATAGCAGTTTTCTAGCGCCACTTTTTGTCTACTAGAACATATAAAGAACTTTGAAATTGCTTGATAACTGGAGATTTGGTGAGCGTTTCAAGATTGTATGTTTTTTGCTCATTTTTGCTCGAACATGACCTCAGTTTGACCTCAATAACTCCTGACCTAAGGTGACCTAAGACTTGAAATTTGGTGTGAATGTGTCAAATTGATGCCCGGGAAGGTACTGAAAATTTGGCGGTGCTGCACGCCGCCGTTTTCTTGCTATTCAGGAAAAACCACAGGGGGGGGGGGCAAAATGCCCCCTCCCCCTCCCCCAACGGGGCGAGGGTTAACCCGCGCCCCACTGGGGGGGCTATTCATCGCCACCTCCCGTTTTTATGCAATAACTTCTAAACCGCTTGACGTAACGCCGCCAAACTTTCAGTACCTTCGGCTGCATCAATTTGACACCTTGTGTCAAAATTTGAACTTCGTATCTATCATAGATCGGCCGGAAATAACGTCAGAGTGACGTCATGTTCGGCCGATTTCGACGCAAAACATTGAACCACGGGAATCGCTCTCAAGAGCTCAGTTTTTGAGCTAGATCCAATTTCTTTGCATTAGAGGACTCAGAATGGACTGCGCTATCAAAATATTATCTCGAATTTTCAAAAGTTTGAAAATTTGGAAGACTAAATATATTAAAATTCATAATTTGTATTTTCATTTTTTCAAAAACTTTTTGACTTTTCGAAAAAAAAAAACGGAATATATATCTTAGAACACATGCTTATGACTTACTCAAGCAAGTTTTAGCCAGATATCTTCAAAAATGGCCAAGTTATACGCATTATAGCAAAAATTTCACAACTTAAAATTTTTCAAATCAATTTTTTTATGTACAAATTTGAGATCGTACACCAATATAAATAGCACCATCTTGTACCTGAGCTCAAACTGCATCCGATAGACATGTTTTTTGTTAAAAAATTTCAACTTTGAAATTTGACCTTTTATTGACCTGAAAGTGACCTGACCTCAGCTATATTCAAATGAAAATGGCTTCAAATGACACAGGCGACCCCGAATTCGAAATCTATGACCTAAATGGACCATAAAACATGTTTCACGTGACCGACTTATGACATAAGATTTCCGTGACCTATGATGACCTGACCCTGACCTTAAAAATCAAAGTACAAGTTTCGTACCCTTATGGTATCTAAAGTATCTGTTCCCGAGTGTGTAAACCAAAAATCAGCCTGCTCTGACTTGTAAGACGGTAGCCAGAGCCCAAAAAGTGAACAAGCCAAATATCGATTATTTTCACTTTGACCTGACCTGTGACGTCATCGTTGACCTCGAGGTCCATGAAATTAGGTTTCGCACGACAGTTTTTCCGGGGCTATCAGATGCCGTTTGAATTTTGACGATCTGCCGAGTAATTTCGGAGTTAGGAGGGGGGGTATTCACAGCCCCCCTTAGTGGGGCGTGTTATACACAGACCCAGTGGGGCGCGGGTTAATAACCCTATTCCTGGCGGGCTCCGCCGGGACAAGAAACTGGCGGGGGGGCCGATTCGGCCCCCCTTCAGATCTCAAAAACTACACATGGCAGCGACAAACGGTAAACGGCATCGGATACGCACGGTCAAGATCTACAATTTTTACTAAGGCCATTTTCAGGTCAGGTCAAAGATGACGTCACAGGGGTCGAAAAAGTCAAAATGGCGGCGCTAGATATGGAGAGAGTTTTTCTCGAATAACTTTCGAATTAGTCAAGATAGGAACAAACTAAGGGCATCATCGTGATCCTCTCGTCAATCCGCATCGAATGATATATATATATATATATATATATATATATATATATATATATATATATATATATATATATATATATATATATATATATATATATATATATATATATATATATATATATATATATATATATATATATATATATATATGTTGACCTCGAAAGGTCAAGGTCAAAGGTTGACCTCAGGTCACGTGACCTCGAGGTCATCATGTATATCATTCGATGCCTCTTGACGAGCTGAACACAATGAGACCATCCACGCGTCTGTATCTTGTTCCTGTACGGAGTTATTGGCCAAAAACCTTTGGTGACCTTTGATGACGTCACATGACCTCACAGCTGCCCAACAGCAAAACAGACCTCAAGGTAGTGAAGGTTGATCGTATATGAAGTCATGTATGGTATATGGGGCCATTCCGACCCGTTTAGTGGTAAAAACAGGGAGTTGATTTTTCCCCCATTGACTTCCCAGTCAGCAATTTCGCTCCGATCCCAAGCGGGATATCCCAGATTTTCCCCGGGTGACCGCCCAGGAAATCCCAGTATTTCGCTTGGGAATTGAGACAAATTGTCGGGCTCTGGCCTCCGAGCCGGTCGGTCGGGTCGCCGCGCCCCGGGCGAGGTCAGCGGTTGGCGGCCGGGCAGCGCTCGGATGGCTCAGTGAGTGCGGCCCAGTGAGCGCCCGGGCGGCGTGAACGCGCTCAGAACAGTGCAGTGCGAGCGAGTGACGCTAAAAGTTATTACGCCGAGTGCGTAAAAGCGCGAAACAGACGAGCGAGTGAATTATGGTGATAACAGACACTGAAAGTGGCGGTGAGGACGCGGTCTTCACCGACGCGACCTCTCAGTCTGAGACGAGTGCCGGCACCGCCGGCCGGAGAAAACGCCAGTTCTCCGTGCCGGAGATGGTTGCCCGAGCTGAAGGTAGGAAGTCAAAGCGTCCGGCGGTAAGCAGACAGTCCAAGTCACCGAGAGAGACTGCACCTTCCGCTAAAGCGGCAGAAGCTGCCGACACCTTGGCTTCCGTGGAGCTCAGCGACGCGGCCATGTCTCGGTTCCAACGCATGCTCGACGGAGGTATCGCGACCGTCATCGCGGCTTTCGAGGCCAAGTTTGAGAGCATGCAGCGGAAGATCGAAGTCCTGGAAGGAGAGGTTATGGATAAGGACGTCGAGATCCGCAGTCTGCAGGAGCAGCTGGAACGCCAAGGGCAGGCCCTGGATGAGCTGCAAGAGCGGACGGAGGGAATCGACCTCAACCGTCGTCTCTCCATGCTGATCCTGGCGTGCGACGACTTCATCTCCAGAACCACCGACGAAGACGTTGAAGAGAAGGTCACCCAAGTCTTGAACCAGAGGTTCCCGTGGCTGAAAATGACGACGGCGGACATCCAGGCGGCTCACAGACTACAGGCAAATAACAAGGTGGTCGTTCGCTTTGTGAAACGTCGCATGCGAGACGCAGTCTACGACGGTCGCTTTGAACTGTTCAACGGATCAAGGCGGGAGTCGCGGGGGACATCAGAACTCTACATCACGGAAAGCCTGACGCCCAAGAACCGTGAAATATACAACCAGCTGCTGGAGGCTAGGAAACCTGCGAATGGAGGAAAAGTGGCGTCCGTCTTCAGCCGTCGCGGCATCGTCTATTGTCGGCTGGTGAAGGGAGGTCCCAACATCAGAGTGGCAGATCTCCAACAGGTGCGGCGCATCCTAAGCGGGGAGCGTGGGGACCGCGGTGATCGCGACCCGCGCCCTAGTGCGATCCCTGCTCCGCCGCGGGGCGGAGCCCACCCTCCGCCGTCGGCGAGCGCGCCTCAGCTGACGGCGGTTGCCGCCGCGGACACCGGTCGCAAAGACGTGCCTCCCGCGCCCGCGTCGGCGCCGGCCCCGGAGAAGCAAGCGGCCGTTCCTGCGCCGCCGCCGTGCCGGGACCCCTCCGGCGCTGGCCCCCCGGCCGGGGCGGGGACGGCGGCGGGGGATGGAGCGGTGCCGAAATCGGGAGCTGGGACGGGGACTGGAGCGGTAGCCAGGACGGAAACCGACACAAGAAAGGTACTGTCATAGCTCACTCCCACCTACTTTGACAACATTTTGTTTAGTCGAGATAGTCAATTTGTTTTCAAAAGCGTTTCTTGTCTACTATGTGCAAATAGGCGTGCCCAATGGCGTGCCAGTTCCTAGTAATTAAGACGTAGGAAGGCGATCGGAGCTCACGGTCACCACTTTAAGGCTAAGCAGCAAGGGAATTGGGCGTTGATCATAGTGATGTAGAGCGATGGCTGAGCGACCTCGACTTGGTCTGTCGGAGTCAGCGACGGCGGCCGTGTTTCCGGTGCGCTGTCCGGCGGCGGCCGGCGGCCGACGACGGCTGCGGCCGTGTCTGACGCGGCGTTGCGGCCCGGCTGCCGGCGGTCGCAGTGGTGGCGACTCCCGGTACCTTGCACCTTGCGCACGTCAGTTAAGTTCAGTAGTGTTCTAGGTTAAGTAAGACTACATATTCGCCATGTTACTGCCTGGAGCGATGAATATATGCTCATCTAATGAGTAGCGCTCTAGAATGACTTCTTACGATATCAGTAGGAGATTGGCTGAGCGGCTTATTAGTTGCCTTACGTGTTTCTGGTCTTTCTGGTCGTCTTTGTTATGACACTCCGGCTAGTTAGTTATTAGTTATTAGGCGATAAGTTGTCTGATAGCCGCCCGGGCTCTCTTTTAGCCCACTGTTTCTGGCAACGTGCCAGGCGAGGGGAGTGTCGGGTCTGGAAGGAGCGGATTAGTAGTCGTACCCAATCGTTGCTGTGAATCTATGTCGCGTCTACCTGTCACAGTACACACGCACACACACATACGCAAACACCCACACCCATACACTCACATATTCGCTGGTAGCTCTGGGGATGCAGCGGGGACATGCAAAAAATCAATTGGGCAACCAACAGACAATGGATAATCTAAATGTTTTGTCTATGAATTGCAGAGGCTTAAGCCAACAAAGCAAAAGACGCGATGTCTTGCACTACATTCGTAAATCCAATTTTAACGTAGTTTTCCTCCAAGATACGCATATGACATCCCGCACATTGCCGTACTTTAATAGTTTGTGGAGAGGAACTTGTTACCACTCGTGTGTTTCTTCACGTAGTCGAGGAACATGCATATTAATCGATAAAAATACACAGCACACTTTAATAAAAAATATTAGCTCAGAGTGTGGAAATTATGTGATTGTTATATGTGAAATATCAACGGAAATATTTGTTTTCATCAATATATACGGCCCCAACAGAGATAACCCAATATTTTTTGAGGAGGTATTTGCGCATCTAGAAAATATTGAGGTCGATCATATTATTCTTGCCGGAGACTTAAATTTCGTGGTAGACCCAAAAATAGACTGTCTCAATTACAAAAGAGAAAACAATGTAAACGCAAGAAAAACGTTTATGCAGCTCGCAAATAAATTTAATATAATAGATATATGGAGAAGATTGAATCCCAGTGAGCGCGAATATACGTGGGAACGCAGAAACCCATTCCAGTGTGGCCGACTTGACATATTCTTTGTCACCGATCACTCGGCAAATATCATCACGAATGCAACAATTATACCAGGTTATCGAACCGACCATAATGCTATAACTCTAACAATTAAAATAAAACAAGACTTGAGAGGGAATGGAATGTGGATGCTGAACACATCGCATCTACTCAACGAGGAATTTATAAAACGCATAAAAACTTGCATAGTAGACACTTTAAAGCAATACGCAGTGCCAACATATCACTCAGACGTTTACACCGACCACTTTGAATACTCAACTATTCAGCTGACAATAAGCGAATGTCTTTTTTACGAAACACTCCTTATGATGGTACGAGGAGAAAGTATCAAATTTTCCAAGCAACAAGCCAGACAAAAGAGAACAGTTGAAAATAATTTGAAACAAGAAGTAATCAGAGCGCAAAAACGTTATAGTGAATCCAGACTGAAGGAGGATTTAGATTCTCTTGAGTTGGCGAAATATAAATTAGAAGAAATGAGACAGCCAATGATAGAAGGACTCATTATTCGGTCCCGCGTTTCATGGTACGAACAAGGTGAGAAAAATTCTAAATATTTCCTCTCGCTAGAAAAGAGGAACGGGAAATCTAAGCATATTCAATATATAAAAGAAGGAGATCGCATTATTACTCAGACAAAAAACATTATATCAGAATTCACAGGGAATCTAGAGGCTAAATATAGCAGCAGAAAAGACGAAACAGTTGAGGAATCAGTCGTGAAGAAGAACATTACTAAGACAGTGTCTCAAAGCGATAGCTTAAGATTAGAATCGCAACTTACAATGGAAGAGTTAACTAACGCGTTACGTTCTATGAAAAGAGGGAAAACACCGGGATCAAATGGCTTTCCCGTTGAATTTTTTAGAACTTTCTGGGCAGAACTAGGGCCATTTTTACACAGAGCTTTTATCGCATCACTCACACAAGGCCAAAAATTAAATTCTCACAGAGAAGGGATAATAAAAATGATTCCCAAACAAGGTAAATCACCACATTCATTGAAAGGGTGGAGGCCGATAACATTGTTAAATGTCGACTATAAAATAGTTTCATCCGCCGTAGCTATTCGTTTCAAGAGTATAATAGACAAAATAATTAGCTCCTCCCAAACTGCTTATATATCTGGAAGATATATTGGAGAAAATACTCGCTTACTTTTTGATACAATAGAGTCAGTAAAAGAAAAGAATATGGACGCAATGATTCTAGCTGCAGACTTCGAAGCGGCTTTCGAGTCAGTATCGTGGACATATTTAAGATCAGTCCTCCGATGTCTAAAACTCGGCCCCTATTTCTTAAAAATGATTAACTGTCTGTATCTTAATCCTGAAAACTATTCCCGAATTATGATCAACGGACACTTAGGCTCAGCGATAACGTTACAGCGTGGAATCAGACAAGGCGACCCGTCTTCAGGATATTTGTTTAATATTGCAGTCGAAGTTTTAGCAGGGTTAATAAATAAATCTAAATCAATTAAAGGAGTTAATGTATCCCCAAATAAACAAATCCGAATTTCACAATATGCCGATGATACGATCTTGTTACTTGACGGAACAAGCACCTCGATATCAGGCGCCTTAGAGATATTGATGAAATTCGCTAAACTATCAGGACTGTTATTGCCATACAGGATCTAAATGGCGTTGCGTTCGATACGAATCAAACACCAAACACATTTCAACTCTTAATTTATACTGGCGATCATCTCACAAATTATACATAGAATTCATCTGAAGCGATTCTCGATCGCTTGAATCGGCGTCACTTCGTTCGAATTTCTTTCGCTTCCTTCGATCGTTTTCGCTTCGTTTTCGTAATCGTTCGATCGCTTTCGCACTTCAATTTCATAGTTTCGTGTTCAATTGTTTCGAAGTTTGCCTACGCCATTTTCGTTTGTTTCCTCTTTCTTGTTTTTCTTTCTTTCTTTATCTTTTTTGAATTTTTGTTGATTTTAAGATGCATCTCACGCATTTTAATGAAACTAAGTAACCTCTTGCAGCCAGATTTTTTCTTGTGTTTCGGGGGATCCCTCACTCCAAAATAAGCAATAAATCGATGCTGTTGCCGCAACAACACCCTCCCCTTGAAACCTCTGTCCCTGAGGTTTCAACCTTGTCATATACTGTCAGTTCAGTTTCACAATCTTCGTCACTGGGCGCTGCAGCGTTGTGCCCCGGACTTGCAGTTCCACAGAGCGAACCAATCCATCAGCGCTGTGTTTCACCCTAAGTACTCGACCCAATGGCCATTGACCTCGTGGGACACTTTCGTCAACCACTACCACAATATCGCCCACACCTAAATTTGGATTAGCTCTACTTAAATGGTGTGGCCTAGCCTGGAGCAATGGCAAATATTCGGCCCGCCAGCGTTTCCAAAACATATCCGCGTAATAAGCTGCCTGCTTCCATCTCTTACGACTGTTGCTGTCTGTTTTGTCAAAAAGATTGACGGGAACGAGGTCGTACCCTGCACCAGCGAGTAGCAGGAGGTTTGGAGAAAGTGGCTCAGTGTCAAGGTGATCAGTGGAAACTGGTGTCAGTGGTCTGCTGTTTATAATTGCCTCAACTTTGCACATGAAAGTCACCAAAGTCTCGTTTTTCATTGATGTGCTGGTTGTCATGCCTTCTAAAGGTCTTCCCAAAGACGAATGATATCTTCGCTTGCAAAACAAACACGTGCTCAAACCCCTTCGTACCGTGGCATTTCTTTCCAAGAACCACATTACATCTTGCACATCAGCCAAAACGTGTTGCCGTCCAGCGTGTCCCAGCCTTTTGTGCACGTCTTGCATGAGCATGAGCATCTCTGTGTTCTTCTCATGGGACAACATTATGATGCGATGTTTCGCGTTATAAGCAAGGTCAGCATTCTGTAATCGTTCTCCAACGCAAGATACAATTGTACAAAATAAAATCACTAAAATCACAAAATAAAGAATGTTCGGTAATTTGACATGATCGTCCGTTAAGTGCAGAGGGACGTTGTACTGACCACCTTTGTACGCAACAGAACTTTCCACCTTCCTCATCCACAAACGATCTGCGGCGGACAACTCTCTTTTCGTGCAATGCAAATGTTCCGCGTATTTATGGTTGTTTGATGACTTGCTCATTTCTTCCAGAGATTCACCTTCAGTGACAGTTGTCTTGCAAACCGTTGTAACGTCAGGTGGGCCTGCCGTCTGATTCAAACCACATATTACCCATCCGAATCTGGTCAGCGTCGCATACGGGCTACCATTGACACTTGGGATAACCCTTAATGGCTCCATTGCCAAAAACGCATTAGCACCCAACAGCAAACCAACTTCTGAAATTTCTGGTTGGGGTAAAACGATATCCTGCAAATGATCCCACTCCTCCAAATCTTCTGCTTTGGGAAACTGGCCTGCTTCAACTGGTAAGTTTGGTAGTGTATATAGTACTGGTAATGACAGATGATTTTCGCCCTCCAAATCCGTAATAGACAGGCCAGCCACTACTTGAGTCGGTACGGAAACGGCCCGATCCACTGTCGTCAGTGTCAGCTGGCGACCGGGCAAATGTCCTAAATTAAGCTTGTGCATAAGTGACGTGGATATGAATGAGTGCGTCGACCCGCTATCGAGAAAGGCGAACGTTGTGCAGTGGCCTGATGCACTCTTAGCCTTTACAGCCACAATGGGTAAAATGGCTCCACACTTCTGACTTCCCGTTGAAATGCGACACGAAGTGACCTTAGCCCCATCAGCTTCGCCTTGTGTTCCCGGCTGTTCTTGAGGCGGCACGCCTCGCAGATTCCCTGGACCATCGTGTTCGTGTAAAGCAGTTGGATGACTTCGATTGCACGTGCGACATCTTGCCGGTCTCCGGCACAAATTTTGCCTGTGACCTCTGCGAAGACACCCAAAGCAAAGCGAGTTTCTCATCACAAATGACTTCTTTTCTTCTGTAGACATTTCCTTCAGCTTAGCACACTCGGGGAGGTAATGCGAGTTGTCCCCGCAAAACAAACATGTCGAATAATCATGTGCTTGTGTCGCTGACACTAGTGACTCTTGATTTTGTACCATAGAAAATGATCCATTAATTTGCTTCTTACCGTTTCCTCGACTGCCATCGTACATGTGCTGCCCAAAAGATGCGTTTGTAGCGACTCTCGCCTCTTTCATGACAAATTCGACTAGGTCTTCAAAAACTGCGGAGCGCCCATGAATTTCTTCGAGATCATCAACACGCCTGCGCCATCTATTTAGAAGTGAGCTGGGGAGTTTTTCTGTAATATTCCGTAACGTTCGCGGATCACTAATTAAATGGCATGCATTTCCCAATGCATTTTTACAGCTCATCAGAAGAAGCGCAAATTTGTCCAAATCTTCACCATTTTCAAATTCCATCCGTTCTTCGTCATTAATTTTATCCATGAACGCCGCTGCAATAGTGCTCGGTTGACCATAACGTTTGCGTAGAATTTGCATTGCCTGCTCATAGCCATCCTCAATATACATACAACTGGCAACGATAGTGTGCGGTTTGCTTCCACTGACCAAATTTTGTTCTAGATAATGCAACTTTTCGCTGTCGTCTTCTAGCTTAGACGCAATCTTCATCTCAAAACTGCGAATAAATTGTGCAAACTGAGTAATGTCACCGCCAAATTTCTTAATTTCTATAGGAGGAAGACGCATCAATGCTGCCGTTCTTTCTCTTTCTGCCTTCAGCTCAGAATGCACATCATCTCGAGAACTTTTTAGATGCCGTTCGTTCAGCGGTAAATGGAGGCTAGGCTGTGAGCCGAGGGTCTTATCTGTCTGCGTTATGTGTGACTGTTGAATTGGGCACTGTGTATGTGTATGTGGTTGGCTCGCTGGTGCTGGGCTTACGCCGCCATTTTGACTCGTATAAGCCTGAAACGCCTGCTCCCTTGCAGCTAACTCATTTATGGTTGACTGAAGTTCTAATAATTCCTGCCCGTGACGAAGTTCGGCTATTTTACTCTCGATATATTGTTTATCTCTCAAAGATCGCATTTTTTCAACAAGTGCAGCCCTATCAGCTGCTTCTTCTGCGCGCCTAAGTTCAGAATTGGCTGAATTACAACTAGAGGACCGATTTGACACAGTAGATCTAATCTGGGATGCACTATCATCTGGCTGAATTGCAACATGCTCTGATTGAGACGCAGAAGTGCGTATCTCTAAGGCGTCGCATAATCGTTTTAGAAGTGTTTCCTTATTGCCTTTACAACTTATGCCCCGAGACCTTAAGATTGTTTTAAGTTCTGCAACCTTCAGCCCCTCCATAATACCTACTACCGAAATTTTCACAATTAATTTAGGTAGACTTAATAATTAACACCTCTGGACAACCCACGGGACGAAGCACAGGATGAAACACAGTCTGATCGGATATGGACGCCTGTAGCCGTAATGTCAATTCACAATGGTTTCTTCTTGTGCTCGTTTCAAGACCTTACCTCCTGTGCAGACCATAGGTAGCCAGACAAATCATTGCATTCTTGATACATGTGAACTTAATATGCTTAGTAAAATCAACAAGATGCCGCTTGTGGCTCGGTAAAACAAAGTGTAGCAAATCAAGCAATCGTGTTTGATCACAATATCATTCTCTTCTGAATCTTGGGAGTTTGTCACTTGCAATCTTGCTGTGAATATCTTTAGTTCACGTAAATGGGCACTTCGAAACTGTTATTGCCATACAGGATCTAAATGGCGTTGCGTTCGATACGAATCAAACACCAAACACATTTCAACTCTTAATTTATACTGGCGATCATCTCACAAATTATACATAGAATTCATCTGAAGCGATTCTCGATCGCTTGAATCGGCGTCACTTCGTTCGAATTTCTTTCGCTTCCTTCGATCGTTTTCGCTTCGTTTTCGTAATCGTTCGATCGCTTTCGCACTTCAATTTCATAGTTTCGTGTTCAATTGTTTCGAAGTTTGCCTACGCCATTTTCGTTTGTTTCCTCTTTCTTGTTTTTCTTTCTTTCTTTATCTTTTTGAATTTTTGTTGATTTTAAGATGCATCTCACGCATTTTAATGAAACTAAGTAACCTCTTGCAGCCAGATTTTTTCTTGTGTTTCGGGGGATCCCTCACTCCAAAATAAGCAATAAATCGATGCTGTTGCCGCAACAACAAGGACTAAAAGTAAATCTAGACAAAACGTCATGTCTACCAATAGGAACATTAACAACAGACCAACTATCTTCCAGGTGCCATATAAAGGTAGTGAAGGAACTCAAAATTCTTGGGATTTATTTTAGCAACAATACTGACAATATTACGCAGCGAAACTTGGAGGAAAAAGTTCATAATATTAACAGAGATATCGAACAATGGAAAAGAAGAAATCTCACCCCAATAGGGAAAATATGCATAATTAAAGCCTTACTAATATCCAAGCTAGTACACATATTTATGGCACTGCCAAATCCCCCTGCCCAACAGATAAAAGAGATTGAAACCCTTCTTTACAACTTCATATGGTGTAACAAGGGGGATAAAATAAAACGCACCAAACTCATCCAAAGGTATGAACGCGATGGACTGAAGATGGTAGATGTTAAGGCATTCATCGATAGCATGAAACTAGCATGGCTGAAGCGGTTAATGATATCTAAAGCTGAATGGACACATGTGGCGTACACACAGATACCCGATGCGACAAGATTGCTCACTTACGGGAAAGAAAAACTGTCTGTGGAAAAATCCAAGATAACTAACACTTTCTACAAAGATATCATAAACGCCCTTATGAGACTGGCTACAGTTTATAAACCAACCGCAGAAGAAATTTTATCGGAAACAATCTGGTTCTCGGATCATACTAAATTTTCCAAAACCATCATCACTGCATGGGAAAGGAAAGGACTTCGTTTTATTTGCGATTTGTTTGACAAAACAACCGAAAAATTGTATTCTAGAGAAGAAATAGAAAATAGTTATCAAATTAAAATGTCCTTTCTCTGCTACGAGGGTTTAGTACGTAGCCTCCCAAATTGTTTGCGGTCCGGTGAAAAAATAACAATTGATAATCCAAACATACCTTTTAAAATAAAATTGGTGATGAATGAACAAAAATTTTCGAAGTATGCATACAACATATTTGTTCAATCCCTTACCCAAAAACACATATCAGCCGACCGGAGGATTAAAGAAAAGTGGGTACGAGATACCGGTAGTCACATCATAGGAACGACAAAAAATGTATTACTTGCCACCATGTCCACTTATTTTATGTATTTTCATTATAGAATAGTTACACGCTTATTTCCAACAAACAAATCGCTACATCTAATGAAAATAGAGCCGTCGAGCGAATGTTCCTTCTGTCGAGAACCGATCGAAACACTAGTTCACCTCTTATGGTTCTGCCCAAAAGTTAAAATATTTATCAAAGAAGTTTTATCACACATAAAGCAAAGATATAACAAAGCTATATACGTTAACATAACAAACTGGTTCTTTCTTAACGATATGCAAAGCATAGATATCATTGTCATAACAGTTTGTAAATACGTCGTACACAGGGCCCGATTGAATAAAAGCACCCCTTCTCTCAATTTCATGCTAAATACGCTGAAGATGGAAGCGCAAAAAGAATACAATCGATATAAGTCAAAGGACAAACTGAACGAATTTCAGACAAAGTGGGGAACACTCGCACAAATTCTGCAAAGCAACTAATTGAGAAAACAAGGTCGCCGCGGCATCCCCGGAGCTTCCGGCCCACGCACCCACGCACACACACGCACGCACCTATACACACACACACAAATGCAAACACACACCCACACCCACACCCACCCACACACACACACACACCTATACACACAACACAAACATCACACACAAACACATACTCTCACATGCCCGCTTTCTCTAAGAAACGCCTCTGTTGCATAGCGTGTCCCGCCCGCCCCTAACCCAACCCGGCTAACCGGAGGCCGGCCCTATTAAGGGTCGGCCGGCCGGCCGGGCGCGCGGCTCGCCACCCTATCAGGGTGACGGGTCGCGGGCCCGGCCGGCGGCCTGGGGCATCGCCCCAGCGAGAACGAGTACATGTGGGATTCGCGGGGCGATGCGGGGCGGGGCGATTTTTGTGAACGTTTGGTGCGCTCGCATTGTGACATGCCCAATATGTGCAAGCATCCATATACATGAGTGACATGTGATTCACGATGTACGTGTACCTATACATCATATGTGCGTATATGAACGAAATAAATTAAAAAAAAAAAAAAAAAAAAGTTAATATTTTTGCATAAAATGGGTATTGAATCGATGCAACTCGTCACGGGAAGTTCAATGGTGGTCTTTGTTTTGCCCTATGTGGTCTAGAATCGCTAAAAATTGAGTTAAAAAAATTGACATCATCATTTTTGAACAGTTTTTTTCGCTATAACTTGGCAAAAAAACGAGATATCGATCTGAAATTTGGTATGTATATAGGAGAGCACAGGGTCTATCACATATATTCCGTTTTTTTTCGAAATTCGGAACAATTTTGGATTTTTATTTTTGTTTTTCTTAAAAAAAATATTTTTTTGATTTTTTGGGGTCAAAATCCCAAAATTTTGAACATCCGAGATAGCAGTTTTCTAGCGCCACTTTTTGTCTACTAGAACATATAAAGAACTTTGAAATTGCTTGATAACTGGAGATTTGGTGAGCGTTTCAAGATTGTATGTTTTTTGCTCATTTTTGCTCGAACATGACCTCAGTTTGACCTCAATAACTCCTGACCTAAGGTGACCTAAGACTTGAAATTTGGTGTGAATGTGTCAAATTGATGCCCGGGAAGGTACTGAAAATTTGGCGGTGCTGCACGCCGCCGTTTTCTTGCTATTCAGGAAAAACCACAGGGGGGGGGGGCAAAATGCCCCCTCCCCCTCCCCCAACGGGGCGAGGGTTAACCCGCGCCCCACTGGGGGGGCTATTCATCGCCACCTCCCGTTTTTATGCAATAACTTCTAAACCGCTTGACGTAACGCCGCCAAACTTTCAGTACCTTCGGCTGCATCAATTTGACACCTTGTGTCAAAATTTGAACTTCGTATCTATCATAGATCGGCCGGAAATAACGTCAGAGTGACGTCATGTTCGGCCGATTTCGACGCAAAACATTGAACCACGGGAATCGCTCTCAAGAGCTCAGTTTTTGAGCTAGATCCAATTTCTTTGCATTAGAGGACTCAGAATGGACTGCGCTATCAAAATATTATCTCGAATTTTCAAAAGTTTGAAAATTTGGAAGACTAAATATATTAAAATTCATAATTTGTATTTTCATTTTTTCAAAAACTTTTTGACTTTTCGAAAAAAAAAAAACGGAATATATATCTTAGAACACATGCTTATGACTTACTCAAGCAAGTTTTAGCCAGATATCTTCAAAAATGGCCAAGTTATACGCATTATAGCAAAAATTTCACAACTTAAAATTTTTCAAATCAATTTTTTTATGTACAAATTTGAGATCGTACACCAATATAAATAGCACCATCTTGTACCTGAGCTCAAACTGCATCCGATAGACATGTTTTTTGTTAAAAAATTTCAACTTTGAAATTTGACCTTTTATTGACCTGAAAGTGACCTGACCTCAGCTATATTCAAATGAAAATGGCTTCAAATGACACAGGCGACCCCGAATTCGAAATCTATGACCTAAATGGACCATAAAACATGTTTCACGTGACCGACTTATGACATAAGATTTCCGTGACCTATGATGACCTGACCCTGACCTTAAAAATCAAAGTACAAGTTTCGTACCCTTATGGTATCTAAAGTATCTGTTCCCGAGTGTGTAAACCAAAAATCAGCCTGCTCTGACTTGTAAGACGGTAGCCAGAGCCCAAAAAGTGAACAAGCCAAATATCGATTATTTTCACTTTGACCTGACCTGTGACGTCATCGTTGACCTCGAGGTCCATGAAATTAGGTTTCGCACGACAGTTTTTCCGGGGCTATCAGATGCCGTTTGAATTTTGACGATCTGCCGAGTAATTTCGGAGTTAGGAGGGGGGGTATTCACAGCCCCCCTTAGTGGGGCGTGTTATACACAGACCCAGTGGGGCGCGGGTTAATAACCCTATTCCTGGCGGGCTCCGCCGGGACAAGAAACTGGCGGGGGGGCCGATTCGGCCCCCCTTCAGATCTCAAAAACTACACATGGCAGCGACAAACGGTAAACGGCATCGGATACGCACGGTCAAGATCTACAATTTTTACTAAGGCCATTTTCAGGTCAGGTCAAAGATGACGTCACAGGGGTCGAAAAAGTCAAAATGGCGGCGCTAGATATGGAGAGAGTTTTTCTCGAATAACTTTCGAATTAGTCAAGATAGGAACAAACTAAGGGCATCATCGTGATCCTCTCGTCAATCCGCATCGAATGATATATATATATATATATATATATATATATATATATATATATATATATATATATATATATATATATATATATATATATATATATATATATATATGTTGACCTCGAAAGGTCAAGGTCAAAGGTTGACCTCAGGTCACGTGACCTCGAGGTCATCATGTATATCATTCGATGCCTCTTGACGAGCTGAACACAATGAGACCATCCACGCGTCTGTATCTTGTTCCTGTACGGAGTTATTGGCCAAAAACCTTTGGTGACCTTTGATGACGTCACATGACCTCACAGCTGCCCAACAGCAAAACAGACCTCAAGGTAGTGAAGGTTGATCGTATATGAAGTCATGTATGGTATATGGGGCCATTCCGACCCGTTTAGTGGTAAAAACAGGGAGTTGATTTTTCCCCCATTGACTTCCCAGTCAGCAATTTCGCTCCGATCCCAAGCGGGATATCCCAGATTTTCCCCGGGTGACCGCCCAGGAAATCCCAGTATTTCGCTTGGGAATTGAGACAAATTGTACGGGATCTCCCAATCGTTTCCAGAACGATCCCCTAGCGTCCCCCTTAAGCGATCGGCTGCAACATCCCGGGCGATCCCCAAGCCTCCAATGGTGCTTCAGCACAGCGAATGGCACGATCCCGACCGGGGTATCCCAGGATTTTCCCAAGCGAACAGTGGGATACCCCCCCCCCCCCGCCTTCGTTAAAGCGCAGTGAAAATCATACCAAGACCCGAATACTCCCTCATCCGCACAAAAAGAACGTTTCCAACCGCAGTTCCCCGTCCTGAATGCGAGTACCCGACCGCCTCTCCAGACCATAAATAAAACACAAAATTCAAACGACTCGTATATTTATTGCTCATCGCTAGCTGCATACAGTAACTTCGCTAATAAACTGCGTAACACAACAAACCAACCACTCTCTAGGTACAGTGCACAGCTGGCCTACCTCTAAGCTCTCTGAAGTTCATTAGGCCTGTCAGTCGCATCTTCCATCGCCCACGTCTTACGGGCTGGTTCGGGCCGCTTTTCCGATATCTGGCACTAGAGAGGCATGGTATGGAGACTCAGCGGTCCACCTCTGCCCTTGGTGTTCTCCATGCGAAGTGAAACAGCTCTGTAAGAAAAAAATCATTTAATTGTCAAATTCAGCGTACAGGCCTGGTTCCTGGCTTGCTAATATACATAAGTATAGGTTGTCGACGAAAGGTTAACAATATCAATCAATAAATAAAATGCTGGGCCTCATCGTTCATTAAGAATTTGTAAGCCATGGACACCATTTTACCATAACATTCCCATCCCGACATCAACTCCGGAGTCCACTCTCAAGAAACCGCATAAATGGCGACCATACCGCAGCACGCAACAACGCAGCTTGCTGTGCGACTGACCCATGAGTTTTCATAACTCACCCTTGCTTCACCAAGGCAGACACTTTTTCAGAAACGCTCCTTAAAAAAGCAGCAAATCGAAGAAATCGCCGGTAATAAGCCGACACTAACGGTCACACCAGCGCGGCGCACTGCGCAGTGCGCACCCCCAGTCGCACAAACAGGAAGGACGCCCGTTGTCGGACACGTAGTGCTGTGAAGTGCGTAAAATAATATTGTGAACATGTCAAAATTCAACTGAAAAGTTACTTTATAACTCGTTTAAACAAGCCTTGTATTCACTTTGAACAGTCTTCAAAATAGTTATTTTTATTTTATTTTTTTTTTGTTCTAATATGGCATAAATCACATCTCGTCCATTCTCATCTCTATTGCCAAATTATCCTACAAGGGGAAGTCTAGGGAAACCCCAGAATATCCCCCAGCCCCTTCTTCGCTGGAAAAGCTAATTGGGGAAGCATCGGGATCACTTGCGTTCCCCAACTGGGTAGGGGAAACCGCCGACATTCCCAATCCTTCCCCAATATTCCCCAATCCATCCCCAAGCGAATTGCTGGCTGGGTTATAATGGGGAGGTCGCGAAACTGACCTGACCTTAGGTCACCGATATCAAAATTCCGAGATATACAAATTGCACATACTGGTACCCTAACTAAAGCCTGAAGAGAAGAAATTGATCGGTCAAAAACTCTAGCTCTGGCGTGATTGCAAACTTTTCTGAGGTAGGGTCACCAAACCGCCTCTGGTGACCTGACCTGAGGTCAGATCAACTCAAAATTTTCAGACATGTTGCGTAGAAGCCTTTTAGGAAAAGTCAGAAAATTTGAGCTTCCTAGCTAAACGCGTTTGGGAGAAATAACCAAAAAACCTCAGGGGGGGGGGGCTCCTGAGGCCCCCCCCCCCGCCAGGAATAGGGTTAAGTGAATCACTGTAATTGCGATCGGAATTCGATCTCCCATTTCATTATTAACCCGTGCCCCACTGGGGTCTGCGTATAACACGCCCTACTGGGGGGGGGGGGGGGCTATTCATAGCGCCCCCTCCTAACTCTGAAACTGCTTGGCCGATCGTCAAAATTCAAACGGCGTCTGATAGCCCCGGAAAAACTGTCGAGCGAAACCTAATTTCATTGACCTCGAGGTCACCGATGACGTCACAGGTCAGGTCAAAGTAAAAATTATTAGCATTTTGGCTTGTTCACGTTTTGGGCTCTGGCCGCCGTCTTACAAGTCAGATCAGGCTCATTTTTGGTTCACACACTCGTGAACAGATGCTCTAGATACGCTGAGGGTACTAAACTTGTACTTTGATTTTCAGGTCAAGGTCAGGTCATCACAGGTCACGAAAATATTATATCATGCGTCGGTCACGTGACACATGTTTTATGACCCATTTACGCCAAAGATTTCGAATTTGATGTCGTCTGTGTCATTCGAGGTCATTTTAAGTCAAATTTAGCTTAGATCAGGTCACTTTCAGGTCAAAAAAGGTCAAATTTTGAAGTAATAATTTTTCAACAGAAAAGGTGTCTATTGGATGCAGTTTGAGCTCAGGAACACGATGGTGCTATTTATATTGGCGTACGATGTCAAATACGTGGTGAAAATTGATTTGAAAAATTAATACTTACGAATTTTTTTTTTGCAATAATGCGTATAACTTGACCATTTTTGAGGATATTTAGCTAAAACTTGCTAGAGTTAGTCAAAATAACGCGTTCTATCACATATATTCCGGTTTTTTCGTAAGGTCAATTTTTTTTTGAAAAAAATGTAAAAATGTAAATTTTGAATTTTATTATATAACATTTTCGAAATGTTCAAAATTTCGAAAATCCGTGATGGCAGTTTGATAGCACAGTCTATTCTGAGTCCTCTCATGCAAAGAAATTGGATCTAGCTTAAAAACTGAGCCCTTGGGAGCGATTGCCGTGGTTCAATGTTTTGCGTCGAAATCGGCCGAACATGACGTCACTCTGACGTCATTTCCGGCCGACCTATGGTAGCTATGAAGTTCAAATTGTGACACAAGGTGTCACATTGATGCAGCCAAAGGTACTGAAAGTTTGGCGTTGATACGTCAAGCGGTTTGGAAGATATTGCAGAAAAACGGGAGGGGGGCTATTCCCCCCCCCCCCAGTGGGGCGCGGGTTAACCCGGCAGGCGGTGGGCCTACCAGCCACCTTCCGCGCAGTGGGGGGGGGGGCATTTTTTTGCCCCCCCCCCCCCGTATCTCCGAAACTACTGGACGAATCCGGAAGCTTCAAACGGCGTTCGATAGCCCTGTCAAATTTATCGGGGGAGACCAAATTTCATTGACTTCGGGGTCACCGATAACGTCACAGGTCAGGTCAAAGATAAAATGTTTCACCGTTCACGGGGCTTCTAGGGAAAGCGCTATAACACCGAGTAAAACGCATTTTGTCGAAAATCAGCGATGAGGCGTCAGTTGTCTAGTACATATGTTGCTATTAGAGGTCACCGGTCATACCAGGTCAGGTCACAGGTCAGGTCACCAAAGGTCACCAAGGGTCACCACATGAGCCCAACTTTACTAAGGTTATGCGATGCATGGTTTATGGCCATTTTTTCATTTCCAACTCAATGGTGTTGGTTATAAGACCATCAGGTACGGTTTAGGTCACTTTCTGGTGGAGGTCAGGTCAAGGTCAGGTCAAAAAAGGTCAAATTTCAAAGTTGATATTTTTGCATAAAATGGGTATCGATTCGATGCAGCTCGTCACGGGGAGTCTAATGGTGGTCTTTGTTTTGCGCTACGAGGTCTAGAATTGCTAAAAATTGAGTTTGAAAATTTGACGTCATCAATTTTGAACAGTTTTTTTCGCTATAACTTGGCCAAAAAAAGAGGTATCGATCTCAAATTTGGTATGTAGATAGAAGGCGGTAGGGACTATCACATATATTCCGGTTATTTCGAAATTCAAAAAAACTTTTTGGATTTTTTGGCTATTATATTCAAAAAATCTATTTTTTATTTTTGGGGGTCAAAATCAGAAAAACTCGAAAAACCGAAATAGCAGTTTTGTAGCCCTCTTGATTCCACACCTTGTATGTCTGAATCATTTTTCTGTATCTCTAAAGCTGTAGGCCTGACAGCTCTTCCCGCGAAACCTTTTTTTGGGTCGAAAATGGCAAAAATGACGTCACTCTGACGTCATTAGCGGCCAACCTATCATAGCCTTTGGAAAAATGTTTGGTCACCATGTGCGCTAGCTGCTCCCGAGAGGGTACTGAAAGTTTGGTGACGATCGGCGCAGCGGTTCTCGAGATATATTGAAAAAACTAAAGGGGGGGGGGGCAAAAAATGTCCCCCCACCGCCTGGAAGGTTAATGTAAACAAAGTCATCTTTTCATTCTGCTGAAGGGTCAGCCCTAGCTTGCGGCTATCTACATACACATTTTTATGTCTATTTACATTTAAATACGAGCACACATTGCTAAACACTGAAACTTTTATAATTCCTCCACGTACTATACATATGAACTTGCCGCATTGCCCAGGCACTCAGAGAAGAGACAATGAAAGTGAGAGACAGGGAGAGGAAAAGAGATATAGAGAGAGGTGGGAAAGAGAGAGAGAGAGAGAGAGAGAGAGAGAGAGAGAGAGAGAGAGAGAGAGAGAGAGAAAGAGAAAGAGTGAGAGAGAGAGAGAGAGAGAGAGAGAGAGAGAGAGAGAGAGAGAGAGAGAGAGAGAGAGAGAGAGAGAGAGAGAGAGAGAGAGAGAGAGAGAGAGAGAGAGAGAGAGAGAGAAGTGTGATAGCGTGTCTTATCCCTCGCCCCGGTAACCCAAACAAGCTAGACATATTGCACAAGTAGGTACCACTCTGTCTGGTTTTACACAGATCCAGCTGTGAAGCCACCGCACTGGTGACGTGCAATTGAAAGCAACCTCAAATTGAGTAGAAAGCTGGCTGTTTCAGACACTCTAAATCAATCGGAGCTCCAGCGCGGACAAATGTCCACCGATTGCCTCAGGACAGATGGATGGCGTCGGTAAGGTGACTTGATCTGGAAATTTGTCACGCAGGCAGCCAGCAGTCGCGCACGTCGCGATGATTTTGCCAGACTCGTGATCGGTTCTCGCAGTCTTGAAACCAGTCGAACAGCAAAATCGACCGAGTCACCGATATTGAACACCATGGTAGCGTGAGACGGGCGGCGTGATTGATCTTACAAACTCTCCAGTCAGTCGACGGAGGCTCACAAGTATGTGCCCATCCACACGTATGACCTGCAGTGACAGAGCCCCGAATGAGGCTAACGGGAGGAGGACGTGAGTACCACTAAGATATTGACCTGCGGGCTGCGACCACCCCTGCCATGGCCATTCCCTAGACCCCCTCCATTTCTGCTTGGACCATTACCAGATGCCCTTGTCGCCTCTGCAGGGGTAATTCGCCCCAAATGCCCACCTCCAAGTACGACGATGAGGGTGGTAACGCATTTATGTACCTCACCTCCAAAGTAAGGTGATGACGATGGTGACACACCTACCTCCAGAGTACAGCGATGTCTAGTCCTCCCTCCACACACCCCACTTTCCAAAGAACGGAAACTCCAAAGAGTTCAGTGAAGAGACGATGATGACACGCATACCTCCAAATAACACTGATGATGATGGTACACCACCCATCTCCACAATACGATGACGATGACGATGACACACCTACCTCCACAGTACGGCGATGACGACGGTGACTGCCAGCAGTAGACTGCCGACAAGTACGCCGGTCAGCTGGGCGCCAGCCAGCGCCGTGCTGGGCTGGTGACGCCACGTGCTGAACAGCTGAATCTGCTGACAGTTCCGCTCCATACGCACCTGCCAGCAGCCGTCATATGACGTCACAGGACAGTGAGGTAAGACATGATAGTGAGGAAAAGATATGATACTAAAGACGACATGTGACGGTGATGATTCAGAGCAAAATGTGGCAGTAAAGATAAGACAGCATAGCAAGGCTATACTGTGTTATCAATAACTCAGTATTGCATTCATACACGTTTTTAAAACTGCTGCCTGTGCCTCTAGGCCGTAACCGACGGATTTCTTACCTTTGCCGAGGCAGACTGCTGGCCTTTGTATATTTTCTTCGGAACTAGCACTGAGAAGGTGGCCCCTTGAATGCGCAGCTCGTAGATTTCATTCGTAGTTAGGTTTGTGAGAATTATCTGGAAACATGTGGCGGTGTGCCGTCAAGACCGGGTGTTGATTATAATATATGTTATGATCAGCGTTAGGCATCCAATGAAAATCGGTTGGCCACGTTCAATTTCACCACAGCATGATAAAGACTTTACAAATTAATTTTAGACTTATTGAAAAAATCACTTACGTCATAGTAGCCAGGTTATAACCGCATAAGCTTGAGCACACGCCACACAGCACCTAGTTTTTCGGTTTATCTGTTTTGCGTTTATGGAGCGCTTACCGATAAGTTGAGTCCGTCTGCTTTCAGTGGAACGTGGCGCTCCACAAAGTCCCAGCTCTGGTTGCTCCGGTACAGCAAAAAGTACATATCCACAGAGCTGGAAATGGGCGAGGCCGATATCAGCTGGTTTGGCTTTTAGAAAGTTAGCGATGCATTGCAAATAAAGCTGAAGGATCCTCTCCCCAACAAAACCACCTATCTCAACGAGTTTATAAAAAGGAAAAGTGAATCACACCAATACATCTGCTACACATCCTAGACCGACAACAGCGCACCAATCGGCATTCATTTTTGCAAATATCAAAATCCAGAAAGGACCCCTAGCTGCTGCCATTCTCATTAATGACCATAGTCCAAATCCTCAATAATGTAAGCATGTTGCCTACTTGTAAGTTCAATCAGCTCCAGCTAGAGTCCTATCCCGCAAGTCCGCCAAAATCCTCCCCCAGCCCTCAGCACCGTCCTTACCGGTAGATGAGTTTTGGTCGCCGCCAGTGCAGCACCAGTGACGTATCGCTAGGACAGCTGATGTTAGTGATGACGGGCGCCCCTGGGCCACTGACGTCAGTTCGTGACGTCACTGGGAACGAGCGGTCCCCCTCTCCGGCGACCGTGCGTGCCTTCAGCCATACGGTGTACTCCTGGTCTGGATCTACCGATGCATAAAGACAGATATACAGACATATACAGACGGTTACAGATACAGACACATACAGACACGGCTCAGTCATCGGTGTATTCTTGGTCTGGATCTACCGGCACATAAAGAAAGACACAAAAATCCCCAAATACCGTGTACTTGGTCCGTAACAAGGGACAACGGATACGATACTGCTACAGTCTTCCATGTCATACATCTTGACATAAATTGTTTCGCAGTACAAAGGTCGCTGAAACATGACAAAGTATATTTTTACCTGGCTCATGCTGTTAAAATCATGACAAATGTCTCTCGAAAAAGATTACCTCCAATCATTGGGGTTGTCTTGGGTCCAGGGTCCATATAAGTCAGCTTGTTCAAACCGTGCCAATTTATACGTGATCCAGGGAGTCTTCACTCGAAATATCGATCAAATCAGGACGGAACTCATGTATGTGACAGGAACCAAATGGCATCACTCGTCTGACCCGAACGAGTGATTGAATTTCAAGGATTGTCTTTCTATAGCTACAAAGCTCGCTTTCTGATTGGATAAATCTGTATAACATGGCTCCAGTGCAGTTACATTGCATATTTATCTGGGATGCTGTTATAAGCTTGGCTTTGATCATTGAGTACGGCCTTTTGTTACATGGTAGAAGCCCAATGCAAATTTTTGCACTTTGCATATAAGGCGTTTCTGATGTAGGTACTTTAGTCCTGATTTTGAATGTTCGATAGAGCTTGCCCGTGGTGAGTGCGATCATTTATCATTTGCTTCATTCTCACGAGCATGTTGCTGTAATGGTTATTCATTCGCCTGGCGGACCTGTGGAATAATGGCCTTGCTTACATCAGTACTCAAATGTCCGATAAAGTCGATCATAAATATGCAAAGCAATACGATACAACCACCTAAGTACTAAGTAGTATAACCAATTGACAAAAAGCTTTCGTAATGGGCTGTTTTAATGCGCTCAACTACTTTGATATATTAGGAAAACATGTTTAGATGAGGTAGGTGAATTTTCAGAATTTGTTATTTTAATTATTTGCTTTATTCTTTGTAGCTCACGAGGACATCAGGTGATTAATCAGCTTCTTATTTCCAACTCCAATCTTGCTCCTCTCTATCGTCTGCCATTTCGAATTTCGCACCATCGTCATTTGTTGTTTCACTACCTTCACACTCCAATACCAGTAGGCGGAACTATGGTCATGAGTACCCAAATATAGGAACGTTCCCATTTTGGGGAACGGAGTTCCCAAATATGGGAACGGGCGTTCCCATTTATGAGAACGGAAGGCAATTTTTCGGCCGTTCGCCCACTAAAACTCAAAAGTGCATCACGTCTCAAAAAAGTGCACGCTGATTGAAGTATCTACTAAATCTCCATAAAGTTATCTTTAATCTGACCGTGGAACAAGGAAATTGACCGTGGAATGATATTTTTAATGATTTTTTAAAAATGACAAAATGTTGAAAATATGGGTTATACGACATTTAACATGCAATTTTAAGGAAAATGAAGCATTTTTTAGTTTGAGGTTAAGTATAATAGCTTTCGCCTGGTTATGAACTTTCATACTATCGACACCAGATGCTGACAAATGCAAGCGAAGACGCGGACGGTCCGGAGGTAATATTGACTTTTGGTGTCGGGGCGGACGACCGCGTGGAACGTGAGTGAATTTACCGAGCTACTGTTGTAAACTCAGTTTAAGCGGTTGAAAATTATCCAGCTGTATTTTATCAACCCTGAAAGACATATTTTATTTGGATGCTAGCTGTTAAGCATTGCTTTTAAGGAGCGTCATGAGCGTGGTTTTTGCCTTCGGTATTTCTAAGCACGATCGTTTTGGGGGAATTTCTTTTATGCAGGTCGCCCTGTGTGGCTTATTTATAATTTTTATGCTGATTTTGATCATTTCTCGTGCCCATCCTACCAGGCTTTTTGCCACTTACACTCATTAAGAAAGGAAAAAAGTAGATTTATATTGGGACTAGGTGTTTTGAGAGTGAAACATTTCAGCGTTCCCATTTTTGGATACTTACTTGTGCTCATCAACTATCAGTGTTAAACAGACAGGTGTTTTACATGCCTCCACCCTCGGCGCGGACAGTGTATATAGGTATGGAAGACCTTGTTGAACATCGCTGAGCGTTGTGAATTACGTAATCCTGCAGAGGGGGGCGTGCCCGTTGCGAGATCGACGGGAATAAAAGCGCAGAAGACCGGGCGAAACATGCGACGGTCTTGCCGGAAAGGTCATCTGATGATTGTTGCGTTAACAATAATTTGCGGCGTTGGACGTGATGCTTGTTAATGAAAAGAGCCCCTGAAAGCCGTCGGTGAAATCGTTCCCAATTTTGGGTACGCCGTTCCCATAATAAGGAACGCTTGCAGCGCCAGTGTACGAGAGCGTTCCCAAATTTGGGCTCGCGGCCCGGATGATGGACTGCTTTAGAAATAGGGGAACGATTTGAAACTACGATGGGCCTTACAATATCAAACTCTTTCCCAACAATATTGAGATAAATATCAGGCGGTTCACGATCGTTTTATATTTTTTGGACGTCATTTAACGGTTCTTTTTCTTGTTTTAAATAATGCCTACATGGCGTTCCCATATTTGGGTTTATCGTTCCCAAAGATGGGAACGAAAATGCGTTCCCGAAAATGGGTACGCTTGACCATAGTTCCGCCTACTGATACTGGTTTGTGGTGAACCATCCATCTAGTGCAGTCCCTGTCCCCTCACCCCAGCACCTCCCCCTCTCCCCCCCCCCCACAGCACGCCGACAGCGGTCAGTCTGCAGAGGCTCGCACAGCTCAGACAAGGTGTGAGGGGATCAACGGGGCTATTCTGAACACGAAGCTGGCCCACCGAACCCGACAAAGTCAGGATCGATTACACGACGCGAAGTTCCCAATCAGCAATTTACACCGAGTAAGTTCGGGGCGAAAGTTGGCACCGCGCCAGATTAGCCTCGTCTGACCCGCACGATGCCCGCACCTGGGGGGGGGGAGGGGGTGTTGGAGGGCAGAGGTCATAACTCGGGCCATATAACACCAAGACGGCTATTCTGCGCGATTGTATATACGAGCATCTCTGTGTCTAACAGAAGGCCTTGGCACACGGCAGCAGCGTGCATCCTTGAACGACCATGGGTCCAGGAAGAGAGGCGTCTGCGACTCCGCGTGTCTAATAGTGAGCGTAGGGTCACAGGAATAGGCTGTATCACCCAGCCTGTGCTATGCGGTACAGCCTACCATTTCAGGCAATGGATCGCCTAATTAGCCTAAGGTCGCCCGATTGACTCCAGCGCACGTATGAGACTAATGAAGGCTGTACATGATTTCACATATGCTGCAGGCTTTCTTTATACCACACATCCTCGCGTATTTTGCCGTATTTGCCCCGTGTCTGACCGAAAATACGGCCGAAACCGGAGCTAATTCGGATGGCGCACCGTCCTGCCGGGCTCAGCCACCTGCCTCTCCCGGCACGTATAATCCGCCGGCTTCTGCGGGGATCTTACCGAGCGTGGTGATCTTACCGAGCGTGGTCAGGGTGTAAGAGGTGACGTCTCCGGCGGACACGGTAACACTGCGCACGGCAGCCTGCTGGGAAGTCCAGTACACGGTGTAGCCCAGCAGCAGGCCGTTAGGCTGCCGGGGAGGTGTCCAGCCGAGCACCATACTACGGTCAGTCACCTCCAGAAACGTCACGTTGTCCGGCCGAGACGGAACTGGAAGCCGCGGTGGAATGATCAGATGTGCATGCGGATTTAGCGAATGCAGAATGGATTTTATTTTTACGCATTGAGTTTGCACCTGCAGAAGTTTTTGCTTTCGATGACGGCTTGAAGGACAATTATTATTTTATTTCTTACCTCCTTGAGAAGTTACGGCAGAAATGGTGTCAGGTGGACTCAGATACTCGGGGTTCTTCACTTGAAGTGTTATTTCGTACCTGGTAAATGGCTGCAGGCCATCGATAAAATATTTCTGAAAGTGGACATTCACTCGTTAGTTTTCAAAAGATTTCATACAATATTATAAATCGAGTCGTGAAAGCACAAAGGAAGCTGAAAAGCCATAGCGTGTTGAGCACGTTGACTTAAGGCACGTTATGTGATTACCTACATGTTCTCAAACTATGCAATACTATGCAATATGTTATGCAATGTAAAAAACACACATTGCGGGCGTCAACACTAAACCGCACATAAGCCTAGCCTTGTGATGAAATGGACGCCCAAGAGGTGTCAAGTCCTTCCAGAATATTTTCTTGGATGCTTGATATTTTTAGCAATACTCCTTGTGCAACAATGACAAATAATAACTGAAATGATCGACGTGCATGCGATGTCTGTGCACCACATTAGCTAGCCTTTCACTAACAACCTCTCCGGAATAGCGAAGCATATAGCCTTTCCATTGCACTTCACTTTGGGTCACGCCGGCACCACTACTCCGCCGCGTTTGCGTCCCATGAGCGGGCCATTGTCGACTGAAAGATGCCTGTCAGGGTACTCTGGCTCAGGGATTGTGGCAGCTTCCGCTCCAAGTTGGCCCGTATTTACCGCTCGGCCGCCGCGCACGGCCGTTCACAATATCCGAGCGGCAGGCTGGCTGCACTTTACTGCCCAATCTATCAGCGGCATCTGAACGGCCGAGCGACGGCCGCGACGGTCGCGCTTCATGCCGGCAGTCGCTGCCGGCGGCCTCCATTGCAGCGACTACATCGTTTGGAAACTTGCACGATCAAATCTAGTTCCCCGCCCGATCCCGACTTAATGGCAAACTTCCGCGATAAAGCAGCCGAAAGAGACCCAATATCGACTGGAAGGCAAGACAAAACAGCTCAACTTCACACCCGTCGGACGGATCCGCTCGGCTGTAACTTTGCTGACCGAGGGAGATTTTGATGTGCTTGATCCGGTTGCGCTGGGGCCCACTATAAAATGTTCTTAGAGGCGTACTGCTTTTATAGACATTCGAATACATACTGGACTGAAAAATAACTTCTTTGAAGTGAATGAAAGCCAAGATGAACTCTGATTTCCGCCAGCATCCAACCTGGCGGGACAATGTGTGATTATTTTGCGGGGCTGGCGAGCGACAAACAAATGGATAACGGTCTTGGCATTTCATTTTGTAGCGTATTATGTCAGTAAGGGACTCATGTGAGGACTCATGCCAGCTCATGACAGAGTCAATGGGAACAAGCCAGACCACTCGACTATCAGGTAAATATTAACGTGGACAACTAAGCTAATAAAGTAATAAAAAATTGTTGTTCAGTGAAACTATATTGACACAATTATTGACCATTAGCAAGAATATAATAATAAGCTAAAAAATTACCTAACGTAATAAATGCATTGTTTGGCTCGTGACTAGCCTGAAGGTAGATGTCTGCCTTGATGTCTGCCTGCCATAAGGGAGAAATGACAGACACACTGAGAGATATGTGTGTTGGTGTTCACCTTGGGTGAAAATTTGTGACCTACCCTAAGCCAGATGTCGTGCAGGTCCACCTCTGTCACTGTGCCCGGCGTCCGGCTAGGTTCCACCGGTCGGTACGTCAATCGGTACCCAGTGAACTCTCCGTGCAGGGTATAATTGGCCGGCGGCTCCCAGCCCACCTCTATAGACGTGGACGACCGGTTCCGGGCGAACGTCAGGTTCGGGGCTATGCCGGGACCTGAGAGGGCATGGAACTGTCAGCAAACAACTGGAGGATATGTTGTAAAAGATGTAATCATCCCTTCATTCAAGACTAGCGTATTACAGTATCAGAAGCCCATCCGTGCAGCTTTCTCACGTCAGTATTTTCTCTCTCTCTCTCTCTCTCTCTCTCTCTCTCTCTCTCTCTCTCTCTCTCTCTCTCTCTCTCTCTCTCTCTCTCTCTCTCTCTCTCTCTCTCTCTCTCTCTCTCTCTCTCTCTCTCTCTCTCTCTCTCTCTCTCTCTCTCTCTCTCTCTCTCTCTCTCTCTCTCTCTCTCTCTCTCTCTCTCTCTCTCTCTCTCTCTCTCTCTCTCTCTCTCTCTCTCTCTCTCTCTCTCTCTCTCTCTCTCTCTCTCTCTCCCTCTCTCTCTCTCTCTCTCTCTCTCTCTCTCTCTCTCTCTCTCTCTCTCTCTCGACTCACGCTCCCGCTGCGTGTTGACCGGGTAGGAGATGGTGCTCGGCCGGCTGTGGCCCAACGCGTTGATGGCTACCACCCTGAACGTGTAGACCGTGAAGGGAGTCAGGCCCGAGATGGTGATGTTGGTGTGATTGCTGACTGTCCGCTGGCCGGCCTCCACGCTCGGCCACAGACCACTCTTGCCGTATCTGAAATAGGGCGATAGGCTTGACGTAACCGTTACTTGTTAGGTCTTCGATGTTTCTCCTTGTTACGTGCTTATACTCGTGTTGTTAAAAGTTTATACCATTCATTTATAGTGTTCTTGCTGAGTGATTTAGAGGAGCATATGGCTAGTCAAATAAATGCTTTCAAGTTTTTAGAGTCCCCTGAAAATAAGGACACAAAACGTGTCAATAGCAATGGGGTTGGGAACTCGATTTTTTAAGAATGCATGAAAATGATCAAACTATTTTCACAGAATTCATGGTGCATACCATTGCCTCATAAAATCAATAAGCTGAGAGAAATGGGGGAAGAAAGATAGGAAACTTGTTTTGAAAAGTTCTTGAAAAAAGATGCTCTTGATGCTGTTACGTCACATGTCACCTTCTGCGGTTGACAAATAATGGCGCATCTGGCGCACCACAGATTACATGTTATATCAATGGGTGAAAGATGTTGTTTGCTTCACTCTGCCATTCGCGCTGTTTTTAACTTTAAATTATGCAGGGCTGTCTCATCCCTATCTCCGTAACGTGTCGTGTGCGACCAATGACGTCACGGCATTGCCGCGTTCTGATTGGGCGGCAGCTCCGAATCGCCCGAATGGTGGTCCCCGCTCGACAAGCGCACGTGCGCCGACTAGGCATTTGTAGTGGCATTGACCAGGCATTGACAGCAGAAAAAGTGAGCTAATGCAGAGCTCTGAATGTACTTGAATAGAGTCTAAGCCGTCAGTAATACGTAAAAACGTCAGATAGGTTTCTTGTTCGTCTTGATTCGAGCTTTTATGTGATATAATTTTTACCTTAGTGTCGAGTCTGGCAGCTATGTGGGAGAGCCCTAAAGTTGGGTCATTTTCCATAGGATTGCATTACAGCCGTCCGACCCTTCGTACCTGTGACGTCACGGAAATCGCTGCTTCGGCCTAATGAGCATATCTTCTATATAGGGCCTTGTAAATTATGCTAAAACATTTACGGATGAAATGTTCAGTGTCAAAAATTGATGTGTCTGCCGTGTACTATATTCCCACTTAACATGAGCGCGTGATAAACATTTTATGTACCTCGAATTTTCAAATGATAAAGATGATGAATCGGAGGATGCTGAAAAGCGAAAGCTCATTCCAATATTTGGACTACTTTACGATTAAAATGTTTACATTCCTGTCATCTTATTGATCATTTACTTGTTCTTTTTTATGAAAATAACTTAAGGCGTTGAGAACCGAGGTAATTTCTATCTACCGTGCCTTAACTTACCAGCAACAGCAATCTATCTACGCCCTACGGTGGCAAGGGAGACTGTGAAAGAAGCGTAAGATGGATTCTAAACAATTCTTTTGTGATATACTGAAGGGCAAAGTGCAGAGAAGAGCGTACAAGTCCTGTTTTGTGCCAGGCTGTTGCAGTAGCACTTATGAAACTCCGAAAACGATCTTCGTTCATGTCCCGAACAACATTACCCTGAGGAGATGATCGTCTGCAATAGCAGGAAGAGCTGATGCAAGTACTTTGAAATCCACTATCAAGTCGGTGCTATTGTTGTAATGATCACTGTGAGGTGAGATATTTTGTGCAAGGGCTGAGTGTAATGCCCATGAAATGACCTCCATTCGCCCCCTGGGCCTGACCGGTCAGGGTTATAAAATTTGAGTGGATGGCGGTCCGTTTGGGGTTCAGATGTCAATTGTATTTTGTTACTGTCAAACAATACATGTTATGCTGGCAGCGAATGTGTGTAACGTCGTTTTTTCGAAACAGAAGTTAGAACTGTAACGGCAGAGTGCTTGCTGGTCTCATCGTAAGTATTGTAAGTGTTGTAAGCAAAAGCATTGTCAATATTGTAAGTATTGTGAGCATTGATGTATGGTAGACATCACCTCACATGATCTCGGCTCAGATAACCCTCTCCGGTGTCCCTGTCAGTAAATGGCACCTGGATCATTACAGATAAGATAATTTGTCATAATTCTTAAAGAATTGGGTGGTTTTGACTCGTTTACTCGAGGTGCAGGTCGCATTTCAATACTTTTCCATAGGCTTGCAATGTAAAGGTCACGACTCTGACCTAACCTCAGGTCACAGATCAAAATTCTGAGATATACAAACGACACATACTGCAGGTACTGTTTTGAAGACTTGATGAGAGGAAATAACTTCGTGAAAAACTCAAGCTCTGACGTGTTTGCAAACTTTTCTGAGGTGGGTTCAACAAACCCGCTCTGGTTACCTGACCTGACCTGACCCGGCATTTTTTTTTTTCTGAGATGTGCGCAATGAGCATGTAGGAAAAGTCACCAAATATGAGCTGAATGTCTCGCGGCGTTTGGCAATTGTACAAGAAAATCCTGAAAGGTCTCCCCGTCCGAAATAGGGTTAATGTGTATATGAAGAGTTGCAGATGCCAAACATACCCAGATCTAAGACTGCAGTTCCCAGCGCCGCTGCAACGTTTTTAAAACAAACATACATAGGACATACAAACATGTTTATTTGCATCTGTTTTGGATAATAGCAACTCATGGCGCCATCACGCGCGATAACTGTTAGGATTTGAGATATATTTTTATTTAGGCCATTAGTTTGGCTGTAATGTTTATTAATATTAGTTGGGCGGAGTTTGGTAGTTTTTTTATTTAACTTGTGGTATGTTGTGCTGATTGCGGGTTGTTCAAACCTTTCAAATGTAAGGACCTTATTGAACTCAACCCTACCCCTACACTACCCTACATACGACTGGACGCTTTCCAAGCCCACAAGCATCACGACGCCGAGATGGAATGTAGCCGAGAAATCACCTTCGCCATCTGCTCTAGAGCTAATCGTGTGGGGCGGCGTGTGGGGCGCCGCTTAGCCTATGGGGGTGCACTTCTAGAAGATGGGGGACGGGGGTGCACCTGCACCCCTTTCATATGGAAAGTTACTTCCCTGATTACAGCTCCCCGTATTGCACCTAATCAGGGAACGGCCAGCAAACGAAGGAACTATTTCTGGATGACAGGCGAATAACCGCTCACGCAAGGAGCGGAGCTCCGCCCCGTCCAAAGTGGCCAACAAAGCAGAGACAGAGGCAGCATCACATCTTCCATCAAAGAACTGGTTTCTGGCTTGGAAGATGAGCTCCATCTTTGCATCCGAGTCGGTGCTGTCAGGAATCAGCTGGTCTAATGGAGTGAGAGTAGTGAGACGACTAGCTTGTATCAGAGCTGCCTGGTCTTCGTAGCATTTGCACCGATTCTTCTCGATCGGACTCTGAATTCTGTCCCTCCTGCGTATTACTTGAGGCATTGCTATGTAGCTAAGTCTTTGGCAGAGTTTCATTATCCATGCTTTACAAACAGTGCCATAACAACACAGTTAACCCGCGCACCGACGGGGGGGCGGATATCCGCCCCCCCCCTGAGGTTTTTCGCCAATAGCGGGAAAACCGCGGCGCGTAGCGCCGCGAAATTTGGTATGACTATTCCCTTATCAATTTTACACATGGTGTGCAAGTTTGAACCTCCTATCTTTCAAGGTCAGGTCACCAGGTCACTTTGAATGACCCAACCTCAAGTCACTTTTTTGCAACTTTGTCACCGTGCCAGAGCTACAGTAGATGTCGGAGGCCTTTGAAAGTCGCAGGATGTTATTAGGTCATTAGTAGCTACAATTTGTATATCTCGGAATTTTGATATCGGTGACCTAAGGTCAGGTCAATTTCGCGACCTCCCCATTATAAGTCAATGGGGGAAAAATCAACTCCCTGTTTTTACCACTAAAACGGGTCGGAATGGCCCCATATACCATACATGACTTCATATAGGATCAACCTTCACTACCTTGAGGTCTGTTTTGCTGTTGGGCAGCTGTGAGGTCATGTGACGTCATCAAAGGTCACCAAAGGTTTTTGGCCAATAACTCCGTACAGGAACAAGATACAGACGCGTGGATGGTCTCATTGTGTTCAGCTCGTCAAGACGCATCGAATGATATACATGATGACCTCGAGGTCACGTGACCTGAGGTCAACCTTTGACCTTGACCTTTCGAGGTCAACATATATATCATTCGATGCGGATTGACGAGAGGATCACGATGATGCCCTTAGTTTGTTCCTATCTTGACTAATTCGAAAGTTATTCGAGAAAAACTCTCTCCATATTTAGCGCCGCCATTTTGACTTTTTCGACCCCTGTGACGTCATCTTTGACCTGACCTGAAAATGACCTTTGTAAAAATTGTAGATCTTGACCGTGCGTATCCGATGCCGTTTACGGCTTGTCGCTATCTTGCTTCGTTCTCGAGATCTCGGGGGGGGGGCGGTCATCCGCCCCCCCCGTCGGTACTAAGTTGGCGCAGACCCCCGTCGGTGCGCGGGTTAATTAATCACCAAGCTTCTTTGCAAGTTCCAATACAGTTGAATCGCACGCGATTTGAGTGCAAAAATCAAGAAAAGTGCCAACTTGTTCCCGTAAAATATTTTGAATATTGACCTAAAAAAATTAGTAATTTCCAGATAAAATAACAGCGAAATCAGTTTTCGCTTGCCAATAAAACTCACAGATATTGAAGCTCCATTATTAAAGGAACATTTTAGTATATGCCATTCTTGATAAAACTTCTTAGCCACGCAATACCAGCGCAAAATAAAGAGACACTGAAAACACGACCAATCACTCCGATTTACCATAGGAAAATACATAGAAAATGTACATATGTCTCAACTGCGCCAAATATACAGACAGTTATATACCTACATGTGACGTCATGATTAGCCCGACCAATCAGAAGCAAGTCGTTTTCAGCCACAAATAATTAATTTCTGAACTAACTAGGCATTTTTTTAACAAAGTGATTTTAAATTAAATCATTAAAAATTCTGAGCTTTTTTATTTTACCAAAACATACAGAGCATGCAGATAGGTCCCAACCCTATTCCAATGGTCATCAAATGACCATACATACATAGGATCTATGAATAAGTGCTGTGGCCTGTGAGTATGCAACGACCCGCCACGAATCACCCGAGTTACTACGAATGTTCGGTGCCGCATATCCAACAGTTAAGCACATACATCATCTTCTGCAGTAGTAGCGTATCATTAGGCGGCATGCAATATTGCGGGCTGTAATCATCTGTTGTTGTTTATCCCTCGCCGGACCTATTGGTTTTCTACATACGTGCCGGCCGAGGGGGGGGGCGGGTACGACCCCCCCCTCGCCGTTTCGCCCCTGGTGGAGCTAGCGCGTCGCGGAAAAAACGAGCGTGTGCGCCGTTACGAGACGCAGAGATTGGTACCCGATTTTAAGGTCCTAGGTCAACCGGTGACCTCTGAGGTCAGGTCAAGTGCCCCCCGATACGGTTCAGTTTTTGGTGAATAACTTCGCAAAAAACGGCCGCAGAGCCGCGATTTTGGCAGCATCGTGTTCGCCTCGCTCAGGCGCGTCGAATGATATACTTTTTGTTCGGGTCAGGTCAACTTAGGGTGTTGACCTCAGGTCAAGGTCAGGTCAGCACCCCCAGGTCACGAAGTTGGTCGAAGGAGGTCATGTCGCATATCATTCGATTCGGCAGGTCTTCCTGAGTCCATTGGTGGCTTTCTCGACTCGCTAGCTTAATTTGATCGGGAGTTATTGACGAAAAACTAATATGACCTTGATGACGTCATAAATGACGTCACGCAAGGTCAACATTGCAAAAGTGACGCATCTAACCTTGCAAAGAGTGCATCGAATCACGATTCTGTGTGCTTGAGATAGTTGGAGATCGTTCCCGGCGCCAGAATAGCAGTTTTCATTTTTCCCCATTGACTTCTAATGGTGAGGTCACGAAAATGACCTGACCTCATATGACCTTTAGGAAAAATCCGAGATATACAAGTTGTGAGACTCATAATGGATACTAGATCCTGCAAGTTTCATTTCCCTGTGACATCTCCTCTGGCAGTGAGGGCGTTGCGAAATTGCGACATCTGAAGACCGTGCAGAGGTTGACTTATGACGTCATAGGTCAGTGACCTGACCTGACCCAAAAATGCGGTTGGTGTCAAAAGATGCGGCTTGGATCAAAGGTCAGATATGCCAAGTTTCAGCTCTCTATCGCCAGCGTGTTCGGAGCTATCGCGAAAAAACCCTATGGGGGGCGGCACCCGCCCCCCCCCCCCTCTCGGCCGGCGAGGGTTATACGAACTTTGCTTTCATCATTTCTAAGCATCCCTTCCATCCACTTCAATAATCAATATCCATATTCCATCACCAAACTCGTGCCGAGGCGGGTCCACCGATCCCTCGACCCACAATCTAGTTTGACCTTGCGGCCCACTGGTCGGAACCACCATCCGAAATCCGACCTCCTTGGATTTCACATCAGTCGTCGCAGGGGCTCGTCGGGATCGTCGCTTGAATTGCTGCGTCGGCACGTGCGTTCCATGCAGATGGCGACTCACGGGCGAGCAATCAGCCGGAATGCTCCGTGCAGATGTGACGCCAGGGGCTGTCTGTGCGCCATTGTAAGCTAGTTAGCAGGAGGAGCTGCTGAAAGCGACAGTGACGGCCAGGAGCTAGACGGTGCTTACCAGGGGCGGCGGGCGCTTCAATTGGGAAATGAGAGGGCTTCTGGACGACTCGTGACGCTTGGAGTTACTTTGATGATGGGCAGAATATGTCAGGCTAAACAGGAAATGAGATGATATTTAGTTATGTATAAGATCTATCAGACAAAATATTTTTTTACTCCAGTGGTCAATTCAAAATCAAGTCAAAGCATTCACAACGTAAATACATACCTAACATAAAACTGGCACACAGAACGAAATAAAACCCATTGGTATCCATTGGCATTGGCAATAAATATTAATCCACCAAGCGCCCTTCAAAATAACTATTTCCGTCCAGCTGGCCGTGCAGAAGCTGTTCCAATCGAGGTCTCGTCCGGCGGAGATGGCATCCAGCTCCAGTCGTTCATTAGACCGCGCCTGTAAGTGTCATGCTCAGCATTTGCCGCCGGCTCGTTACTCTTGATTGGCCTCATCAGGCTGGGGATCAGTGTGGGATCTGAGAGGGAGGGGTAAGAGGAGAAGCAGCCAGCGGTCGCGTGCGGACGTTCGGGGACTTGTCGAGCGCAGGACAGGATATGAGCGGTTGCTTCGCTATGCTGAAGATGGACGATGCTCATTTCCACGCGGAAGCGGTCGGTGAGTGATTGTGTTTTGCTTGATTTACACGGTTGGAAACGAGTTTGGCGATCACTCGGTCGTTGGGAATGGTACGGTCCAATGACCACAAGTCAAATCGAGCATAATGTCATGGGTATGAGTGTGTGTTCAGTTCAGAATGAGTCAAATTCACAGACCTCGCAGTCGCATGTTCTAGGGGTTTGTCAACCCACTAACACTGGACGTTAACCCGCGCCCTGGTGGGGTCTGTTTATAACGCGACCTGGTGGGGGGGGGGCTATTTTTTGCCCCCCCCCCCCCTCGTATCTCCGAAACTACTGGACGGATCCGCAAAATTCAAACGGCGTTCGAAAGGCCTGTCAAATTTGTCGAAGGAAACCAAATTTCATTGACCTCGGGGTCACCGATGACGTCACAGGTCAGGTCAAAGATGAAATGTTTCACCGTTCACGGGTCATCTAGGGAATGCGCTATAACACCGAGGAAAACGCATTTTGTCGAGAATCAGCGATAGGGCGTCAGTTGCCCAGTAGATATGTTGCTATTAGAGGTCACTGACAATACCAGGTCACGTCACAGGTCAGGTCACCAAGGGTCACAGGTCAGGTCACATGAGCCCAACTTTACTAAGGTTGTGTGATGCATGTTTTATGGCCAATTTGTCATTTCCAACTCAATGGTGTTGGTTATAAGACTATCAGGTACGGCTTAGGTCACTTTCTGGTGAAGTTCAGGTCAAGGTCAGGTCAAGGTCAGGCTAAAAAAGGTCAAATTTTAAAGTTGATAGTTTTGCATAAAATGGGTATTGATTCGATGCAGCTCGTCACGGGGAGTCTAATGGTGGTCTTTGTTTTGCGCTACGGCGTCTAGAATTGCTAAAAATTGAGTTTGAAAATTTGACGTCATCAATTTTGAACAGTTTTTTTCGCTATAACTTCGCCAAAAAAAAGAGGTATCAATCTCAAATTTGGTATGTGGATGGAAGGCGGTAAGGACTATCACATATATTCCGGTTTTTGCGAAATTCAAAAAAAACTTTTTGGATTTTTCGATCATTATATCAAAAAAAAATATTTTTTGATTTTTGGGGGTCAAAATCCAAAAATTTCAAAAATCCGAGATAACAGTTTTGTAGCCCTGTCAATTCTACAGCTTTTATGTTCTTATCATTTTTCTGTATTTGCAAAGCTATAGGCCTGACAGCTCTTCCCGCGAAACCCTTTTTTGGGTCGAAAACGGCAGAACATGACGTCACTCTGACGTCATTTCCGGCCAACCTATCACAGCCTTTGGAAAAATTTTTGGTCACCATGTGTAAAATTGATGTCCGGGAGGGTACTGAGAGTTTGGTGACGATCAGCGCAGCGGTTCTGGAGATATATCGAAAAGTCTGGAGGGGGGCAAAAAATAGCCCCCCCCCACCAGGTCGCGGGTTAAACTTATTTGATGACATTCCATGTTCAGTTCACATTGATCTCGTCTGACCACGACATCGTGCTCTAACTGAAGTGGTACGCTACTAAATTGATATCGGTTTTAATTTTCAAGAACTGAGATCTTACGAAATATTAGGGCGCACGATAACATGTCAACCCAACCATGACCTCTACATAGATTCTGGAAGTCATTATGCATATGCATGATCATGTTGAACAGATAGTCGTATCGTCGAATAGAGGAAGGAATGATGATTTATTTTCCATGTGCTCTTTTCTTCATAGCATTCAGTTTTTTTTTATTAACCGGAAGAATCCACTAACAAAAGAAAACTGACTACTGGCTGAATATTCCTGCGCATAGGAGTGTAACAGGCTTGCTACACAAAAATGTAACATATGTAAGGACACATCTGGTAGTTCGTTCGCAAAAGAACATGAACAATAAATTCTTGCCAACATCAACAACTCATGGGATAGAGATCACTGTTCAGTGTTCAACAACCGTCGCATAAGTTTGGTGTTCAAAGACTGTGGAAAGCAGCTTGTTCTCCGCAGCACCATAAACACTTTGCACAAATCATAGCGGACATGGCCAAAGTGCCGCTCCATTGAACACTCCGGGAGTTTACAGCCATTGGCGGCGACGACGACGGCACTAAATTCTAATACACTTGATGCAGTGTATAATGAAGTAAGCACCCAACAGAGCACAACACTATACCACCAGTGCACATGAATTCATGTGTAGTATTTCCTTGTCACCGCAATTGATAGTTTCTTTGTCATATCAATCAGCTCAATTAGCCATGACCGTCGGTTATTATTGCAGCTTTAGCATACTTCTTACGGGTATGTATCTGATCAAACTGACGGTTATATGTACTGCATGTCATTTGGATCTTGAACCGTCAGGACGAGGCATGACCGGTCCAAGTCCAGCAAGACCGACCAGTGATAATACCGGCTGATTTCGCCGACAGTTCTGGAGAACGGACTAGATCTAAGTTCTCTTGACTTTCTGTGCCCCCGGAATGCCATTTACTCGGTCTGACCCGGGCCCTGTTCGGTCGCTGTTTTCATATCAGCGTGCTGTCGGTTTTCCCCATATAAGAAAGCTATTGCTGGCGCGGCTTGGCCTCTCATTGGTCTAAAGAATAGACCACTTGCATTCGACCAATGAGGAGCCAAGAAGTAGCAGCATGATCGCAGCCTGCCTGCTGATAAATAAACGGGGTGCGAACAGAGCTCTGATGTTCAGCGCCCACCTACCTGGTCTGGACCACGTAGTACTCGATCGGCGCATTATTGGTGTACTTGCTGGGAGCCCAGCTGAGGTTGACCAGCCGGGACTCGTGACGCAGCACCATGGGCCGCCCCGGGGGACTCGGCACGTCTGAAACACAGTAGAAGTGTTTTCAGGGGGAGCGGGCACGTCTGAAACATGGCAGAACCGAATTCTAAGGGACTCGGCACGTCTAAAACAAAGAAAAATTGCTTTTGGAGGGACTGGGAATGTTTGATACACAGCAAAGCAAAAACTTGCTTCAGGCGGAGGGGGGACTCGGCACGGCACGGACTAGGTGTTGAGCTCGGCAAACTCAACACCTAATCCCGGCCTGTATGTAAGAGCCATATGCAAGAAGTCTGTATGAAGCTATGGACGTTAAATCGACTACGTAGGTGACGCTGCCTAGCAACTCATCCTCCTAGTCCACACGCAGTTTCTGTGAGTTGTTACATCGCTCATCATGGTCAACGATTGACTGGTGATTGACGCGCCGATCTCCCAATGGCCGCCCTTTGTCACAGAGAGGGCGGCCTACCAGAGCAACTCTGATGGTCAATAAAACCCTGATTGTTTGTCAAATGACTGTCGAGGAGACCGAGGCATCGAGTCGCTTCCAGCAAGGAGCCCACTCGGACCCTAACTTGGTCGAAATGGACCGACCATGAAGGGCAGACGTATGTGAATGGGTTATAACCGATCTTGGGGCTCTGTTAGCAGTTAACTGTTCTGGCATCGACTCGTAACATAGCCGGACGCAGAGACCTCGGATACAAGCTGGTCTAAACGTTCAATTATGGCAGTATTCAGATCGTGAATATGAATAAGAGCCGGACGCTGGAGTATGACATATCTG